GATTTCTTGACTGCTGCTTCCATGGGTGTTGATTGTGAATCCAAGTAAAATGAAATCTTTGACAACTTCAATCTTTTCTCTGTTTATCATGATGTTGCCTACTGGTCTAGTTGTGAGGATTTTTGTTTTCTTAATGTTGAGGTGTAATCCATACTGAAGGGTGTGGTCTTTGATCTTCATCAGTAAGTGCTTGAATTCCTTTTCACTTTATGTCTCTAATTTATGGTAATTTGTTATAGCAGCAATAGGAAACTAATATGCATGGTAACCATTAGATTGATGTTATTAGCTGGGTATATTGCCACCCCAATATAAATCAGTGTCCTGATATTAAGAGAAAAGTTGAGAATGGATATCGGAAAGGAACTTAGCCATGTTTTCCATAAAAATAATTGGGCAAGATAATTTTTACAAACAGTAAACAGGAAAAGTCTGGTCTATTCATTATTATATGTGTCATGAACCTTTTTTTAGCCATTGTGAAACTGGCTAACACTGAATAGATATATCCGTGCAGCAGAGTGATGATAAGCAAATCCAGTAATATCAGAAGCTATTATATCCATTCTGCTGTGCGTAGGTTCACTGTGAGTTGGAACCAACTCGAGGGCACCTAACAACAATTATGTTGTAAAAGTGGCATCAAAATCAATGAGAAAAGGAAAGATTTTGAAATAAATGAGATGTCGACGATTAGTTATTTGCTGGAAGCAAATATCTTAACATGATAAATTAAAGTTGGAAGAAATATTTAAAATAGCATACGATTTCTGGAAGAAACTAGATTAATGCCCAAGGTGGTAGAACATTCCAAATGTATAGCAGAACTTCTTAAAATATTTTTCCAGGGGTGGGGGTCTGGAGACCATGCTTTCAAGGAACATCTAGGTCAATTAGCATAACAAAGTTTACCAAGAAAATGTTTTGCATCCCACTTTGGGGAGTGGCGTCTGGGGTCTTAAAAGCTAGCAAGTGGCCATCTAAGATGCATCAGTTGGTCCCAACCCACCTGGAGTAAAGGAAAATGAAGAACACCAAAGTCACAAGGAAAGCATTAGCCCAAGAGACAGAAAGGACCACATAAACTGGAGACTGCATCAGCCTGAAATCAGAAGAACTAGATGGTGCCCAGCTCCCACCAATGACTGCCCTGACAGGGAACACAACAGAGAGTCCCTGATGGAGCAGGAGAAAAGTGGGGTACAGAACTCAAATTCTAGTAAAAAGACCAGATTAATGGTCTGAGACTGGAGGAACCCCAGAAAGCATGGCCCCCGGAATCTGTTAATCTAGAACTAAAACCATTCCCAAGGCCATCTCTTCAAAGATTAGAATGGACTATGGGACACAAAATGACACTCGTGAAGAGTGTGCCTCCTAGCTGACAGCCTTCTTTTTCTTATGAAGCTGTTTCGTTAAGGAGTTTAAAAAACATTCAGGAAAGATAGAGAGACCAGGCACTTGATAGGATCATTGGACTCTTGCTTTTGGTCTTCCTAGTAAACAAGATAATAAATGTGTTTTTTTAATTATAAGAAACCTCTTGATGATCTGTCCGTTAAAAAACAAGGCAAAATATGCTTTGATGGCCTGCTACAGAGGGCCATATTTACTCAAATCAAAATGATGAGAGGAAGCCTGGCATCTAAAATATGATTTATAATTATAGCTAGAACTTACTGAGTGCTCACTATGAGCTGGAGATTGATAAACATCATCTTATTTAATCTTCACAACAGCTCTATGAGGTCATCACTATTATTACTCCCATTTTACAGATGTGGAAACTGAGGCATAGAGACATTAAGTGATTTTGTTATAGTCACATAGGTAGTAAGTGGTGGGAGGAAGACTCTAATCTAAACAGAGAATCTGTGCTCTCAACCACTACACTTTATTGACTAATTTTTGATTGATGGGTGGATGGATGAATGGATGGATGGATGGATGGATGGATGGAGTGGAAAGCATCATGGGTTGCAGGGCTCTCTCGGCTGGATGGTCACTATCCCAAAAATCTGACTCAGGTGCTATTCTTTATTCCTAGCTGGGATATTGGTAACCAAATCTCTCCATAAATTGCCTGAATGATTGGGAGTGGTGGGTATCCGAGCTAGAAGGCATGATTCTCAAGGATTTCTTTTGCACAGCCTAAAGTAGCCTGCCTCAAACCCATCAAACCCAAGCTTCTGTAGATAGGATGGGGGCGGAGGTTTTTCCCAAGCAGCAGGTTGTATGAGAGAAAAGCTCCTAGAAGAGAATTGACCTAAAAAGGAAAAGGGGGTCCCCAAAGGGGCCTTTCCAAATAGGCCATAGCTGCTTTAAAAAATTCTTTGTTCTTCCCAATGAAACCACCATCTCCAAGAAGCCCCCGTCAGAACATTCATGGACTGAGCAGGAAGCAGTCATGAGTTTCCCCTAGAATGTAGAGTGTGCATCAAATATTAGGCTGTTACCCCATTTTGGTCACTAACTCATGGAATGACTTTGAACACTGTGGCTCAAACACAGTTCTCTTATCTGCAAAATGGGGGACATAACACTTGCCTAGCTGAAAGCCGGACGCTGGGATAAATGATCTCCTAAGGCCTCATCCAGCTCTAGGATGTATGACTCTAGGACTATGGGGGTTCAGCATTCTAATTTTCCCCAATATTTTATATTTTTAGTACCCAAATCTATGCTCTTTTGTTTTTCAGTGACACAAGAATATTCAAAGTAGCCACAGTGGCAGGTAGAGGGCAGAGTGAGTGGGACAAGCTGTGTTGGCAATTGTGGGGCCCCTCAGTTTGTAGTCATTAGAAGACAGTCCCTCATGGAGGAGGGTTCCAAGGACAGAAGAGGCAACAAGTCTTTAGGGGACTAGAATTAGAAAGAATATGCCAGGACACAGGAATCAAGGCCCAAGAAATGAGGAGAACAGCAGACTTCATCAGTCTAACTCATCAGACATCCTGGATTCCATTCCCAGCCTCCCTGCTTCCTACCTTCATGACCTTGAACAAGTGGCTTTACTTTTCTGAGCCAGAGTATCCTTATCTGTAAAGATGGGTAATAACAGCACCTACCTCAGGGCTAGATAATGCTTAGCACAGTGCCCAGCACATAGTTAACATTCAATCAATGATAGTTTTGCCGTGGTTTTTCTGTCATCATTCCTGAAAGTTTCCCACCAGGTATCTAGGACCTCAGTTGTTTTGTGGCACCTCATTTGGGCAGCTTGTAATAGTGGATAAGAGTGTGGGCTCTGGAATCAGACTGGAATATGACCATAGGCAAATAACATAACCACCCTGTGCCATACTTTACTCATCTAGAATATGACCCATATTTCCTGAAGCCAAGACTGCAGTCTTGGTTTGGGCAAAGTGACATCCCCATTCAGGATGCATTATCAAGTCCACAGTCAATATGGAAAGAGAATGCATGAAGTTCTGTCCAGAAGGAGATGAAAAGGAAACCACTTCAGTTGTCATAAGGAACCCTGGTGGTGCAGTGGTTAAGCACTCAGCTGCTAACCAAAAGGTTACAGCTTTGGAAACCCTATGGGGAAGTTCTACTCTGTCCTAGAAGGTTGCTATGAGTCTGAATTGACTCGACGGCAACGGGTTTTGTTTTTTTTTTTGGTTTTCAGTTGTCATAATTAGCCATTTCCATAACCCTTCTTTCCCTCCTTCCATACATCCATTTCTCCCTCCCTCTCTCCTTCCCTCCCCCTACAAGAGGAACTCATCACTACAGACTACCGTAAGAAGAACTTAACTCCACTTGTGGACATAACACTCCTCCAACCCTATCCACTGATCCTCTTCTGAAAGCGCTCATTTGGACTTATGGCAGGAACAGGTGTTCCTGAGAATGTAGAGTTGCATGCTAGGAGTTACAATGGACATCCTGACGGTCCAAAGGAGCAGTCATCTCCCCTGTTCCCATGACTGTGTTGAATAGTCCCACAATGTACCTCTAAAACTCAAGAGATTTTTATAGTAAAACTGGATTTAGGGCAAGTGGGCTATTTTAAGACTAAATTTTGCTGTACTTGCATATCCAGAAATTGCTGACATTGACTTACTGGAAGGTAGGTAGTCTGCAAAAGGTGCAACTTGGGGGAGGGGGGACCTGCATGTCAGTAAATGGAGGAAAGGGGTTTTTTTCAGGGTATTCTGATGCAACAATGGCAGTTACTAACGCATGTAAATAAATGGACAGTAAACATGGATGGCCTGGCAACATGAGCATAGGTTGAAACAGTAAGATTAGAAACAGAAAACTGGAAAGGGTGGGAGAGGGGGTGCTCAGAGATATAGAGACGGGGTCCTTGGAGCCTGCAATTCTCTATTTTGATCAGGCATAGCTCCACACTGAGCTGACCACAGACAGGCCTGCCTGGGAAGTTTTTGCATTATTTGGAAGAACCCAATATGGGGAGGACTGACACCAGCCCTTCTCCATGCCAAATCAGCCCCTTCTGGGAGTGAAGGAATCATAAAACAAGAGAGGAAGGGAAAAGTTTAGACTTCTGGGAGCCTGTGGGTCTAGGGCATTTTTCTTCCCTTCTTTTGCTCAAATCTCATTTTGTGGCTGGGAGTACCTTCTAGGGAGGCATCTTTGGCCCTGCAAAAATCAAAGGAGCTAGGGTGGATCTCAGAGGAGAGCAAGCAGAAAGTGTTGGCTCTGACTCTGCTCAAGGCCTAGCGAACAAGTGCAAACAGGACCTTCTTATTTCCTTCTAGATGGTCCAATCTAGTTCTCCAGAGAGAAAGTGAGACAGGCATTCTGGACAGAATGACTTCCTTGGAAGGAAAATTGTGCCTTTGGCTGAAGTATACTCTATCTTGTGAGAACTGGAGAGTGGCAGACTGGGCACAGAAGGGTAAATCCAACAGAGTCAACAATTCCCTCTGAGGCCTAGTTGGGCAGGAGTTCTGATTCTTCTCAATTACCCCAAAGATCCTGTTATGCAAAACCAGGTCAGGCCCAAGTGGAATTTGCTTTTTTTTTTTTTTTCAATTGCCCCATTCCTATGTCTTTTTCCCCCTCGGTGGTAAAACAGATGACGGGATATTTCTGAAGCTTGCTTGCTGAAGTCAGCTTGGTTAACATCACTCATTTTCCCAATCAACTCTTACCAATTTTTCTATCAGAAGGTTCATGCTTCAGGCCTTAGCTTTAGCATATTGTTGAGAAAGCATTTAATAAAAACAAAAAAACAACCAACAAAAACCGTGTAATTTGCTTTTGTAAACACTTTATAACGCCAAAGAAAACAGAGTAGGCAGTGTGCTTTGCTTTAAGCAAACCCAATATATGAATGCTTGGATTTACAAATAAACTAGGGGCTCATTATTTACTTGAAAAAATGCTTCAACATAATTCTTTCACAAGCTTTTCTTCTTTAAAAAAAAAAAACACTCAATTTATGGCCAGCTTTTCAGAAAACACAAGTCACATTAATCGGTTCACACCTGCCTCACTGTTGTATACAGAAGAGCTTGCTGTCTGAGTGCAGGTCTATTTCCCTGCAAAGAATCGTCTGGTCAAATGTATTACAACCAATAGGGTGCAAAAACAAAGCAGACATTCCAATAGCTTTTCTTTCTATTCAGCTTCTAACAAAATAACACTATTTGGGTAATTCTTGCCCTAAGGTATGAGCACAGTTTTGTTAGATACAAAATCAGACAACAGGAAACTCTTTTAATGGACAACTTTTCACAGAGACTGTCTATATCACATTGTTATTACAACAAAGATGAGCTGAAACTGTTTTTTTGGTACAGATTTTGATGAAGGGAAATTCTAAAAAGAAATCAAGCATATAGAGGTAGTTGAATAGCAATATGCGGGGGGCGGGAGCATTATCTTAATTCCCCTTCAACTCATTACAGTGCAAGAGTAAAATGGCTGCTTAACAAATGGAATAACAAACACCTACACATTTGCCACTGTTTAAAGGACTTACTTGATATTTTAATCCTGGCGTTACTGAGAACCTGCATAAAACGATGAAACTAGTTTACCTAAGATAAGCCTATGGCGCCACATCGACCTACTGTCTTTCCTTTTATGTTGTTGTTTACTGTTGTTGCTTTGACAATAACTGTTAATCAACTTTTAAAATGACGCATAAGCTACAGTGTTGCTTTGTAAACTTCAGTTAATCACGTTTGCTGTGAAAAAAAAATCTTTAAACGGCTACAGAGTCATGGAGCGAAAGCTTTAGAATAACAACCAGGAACAGAGATTACAGGCACTTCTCTCTGAAAGTGAATTTAGCAAGCGTGTTTGGAAACACCCATTTGTAAGGAATATTTCTTCATTTAAGCTCTGGATGTGCGTAACCCAGACTATTTTAATAGCTGAACAGTGTAATACATTAGAGCTATCATTGTAAGATGAATTGAATGGGTATACGTTACATGGCTCTTTTTCCTCCCTTTTTGTTAAACTCAGGAAGGGGCACGAATTGAAAGGCAGTTGGCTAACTTTCAGAACTGTCCTTTGATCATACCTCAAAACCTCCTTCTGCAGGCTCAAGAATGGGCTGAAAATCTGCCCTTTCCCATTATTTGGGCTGCCTTCCATTTGCATCTTCGTTACACACCTCTATCACGATTCTGCCTTAGTAAATGGAAATGGATGTGAAGTCAACATGTTGAGAACTCCAGGAATGAGTCCCTGAATAAAACTCCCATCGTGAAAATGGAGTTGAGATGGGCGAACAGTCCACAATGGATTCCAGTCCATCAACAGTACTCTGTTGACAGTAAGAGACCTCTGTGTGCTGTGAACTAGCCTTGGAGCTCCACCGATCCAATGGCCAGTCACAGGGGATTAGCTGAGCCCAGGCCAGCTCTACAGGCAGAGCTGGAAGCGCACAAGCGCAGTGACTTGACTAGCCCCTCGCTGCTAAGGCAGCACTGGGCTAGAAGCGGTCGGCCCTCAGAAAAGGCAAACTGTTTTCTCCAAGTCGCCTACAAAAAATTAGTTTTTTCATTTTCTACATTTTGCTGGTTATTAGCTAGCAGCAGTAGTATGGTACAAAGCAGAAAGGCATGGTGTCTGCCTCGTACCTAGTTTATATATACATATATATGTATATGTACATATATATATAAAATAACCTACTAGGAAAAGACTGGGTCAGTCATGATAAACAGGAAAACTAACCAAATAAATGGCACAATCTAACAAGGGGGAAGTCTTGTCCTTCTGGCCTATATTTAGCTTTGTGTCTTTTCAAGCTGTGCAGCAAAACTAACTTACAAGTGTTGAGAATGTTCATGCTCCAATTCAAGCACATCCCAAAGAAAGTCAAGACTTAGCCTTGCATACTGCCTCACACCACTATCGAAACAAAGCCTTGCTGTAAAATGACCCAAACATGTATCTAGGCTACTGAGAGAGTAAAGTGCAAATTCTGGATAGCCAAGATCTACATTTGCTGTAGTTAGCTACTCGCTTATCAAGATGAAGCATTCTCCGATGTGGAATTTTATTAAGAAATCAAACCTCCCTTTCTGCTTAGATTAGTAGAGATGTGTTGAGTAATTTAATTTTACTTAACTTGAAATTTCCCATTGTGAACTTGCGGGATTCTTTGCTGATTTGATTACCATGCCCATTTAACAAAATTATGTGTAATGCAAAAGATTTAGAAATATTAAAAATCTGCGAAGTAATGGATTCAAAATCAAGCTGGGCCTCTTATTGATTGACTATGTTACCTGAGCAAAGAAGTATTTAACTCTGCGGAGCCTCAGTTTTTTCATCTATAATATGGGAATAATAACTACTCTCACAGGGTTGATATGAAAAATAAACAATTTATGAGCTCATGTGTGTGAAATCACTTGGCTTAGGACCTAGTAGGCAATAGGTTCTCAATATATTTTTGGTGAATCTGTTACTTTGGACAGTATTGAGGGAATACTATGAACAAAGCACAAAAGTCATAGGTTGTAAAATCTATTCATCATGGCATGGCCATGAACATCAATCTATACATTTTGGACAGCAGGGAGTGATGAGCTGGTTATTTTAACTGAGCTAGAACTTAAGGATTCCATTCTATCAGAAATTCTAGACCTCCAAATAAAACTGTTTTTTAGCCTTATTGAGATGGGACAAGTTTGCTGGCATTTTCCCAAGCAGTCATGACCCCTTAAAAAATTACTTGTCAATCATCAAGTTATGTCAATCATAAAATCAGTAGTGTGCATTCGCCCAACCAAGTTTAAAGGGGTTGGCAGTGGGTACTGCATGTAAAGGCAGTGTTTTATGGAAATACAGGGCCCTGATGATATTCTGCAACTATGAATAATAACAGCTACTATTCGTTGAGTGTTTCCTATGTGCTAGGCACTGTGCTAAGTGATTTACATATACTATCTCATTTAATGTTCGTAACAACTCTATATGCAGAATGCTCTCACTACCATTTTATAGATGAAGTAATTGGGACTCAGAAAAAGATCGTTTGTTTTTACTTACATAATCTCTTTTATATTGTCTGAATTACTTCACTCTCACTTTTGTTTCTGGCCCCATGTGGTGACAGAAGAAATCAGACTGATTACTTGAGGCATTAACCTCTCACCTTAACAGAGCAACTGGGCTGTGACTAATATCACTGCAGCTGTCCAACATCATATGGGGGCAGGATAATTGTGGCCGCAGTACAAATGACACAATTCACCTCTTCTCTACCCTGGTCTTTTCACTCTGTCAGTATAACACTCCCATACTCACAGTATTTTTCAGGTTCTCCTAACACTGAAGGAATCAAGCCTGCAATAAGAAATTTAAATAAGTGCTTACTCTTACCTCCTTACCCTCTATTCTTCCCCTATACGGAAATCTTTGGCCTTTTGCAACCAGGAGGAAAGGCAGTGTTTAGATAAAATAATGGATTAACTGCCTGGTTCCTTTAAAAAGATTTTTAAGGGGTTGTATTCTATCTGGCTTCCTTACAATTTTTAAATCCAAACAGTCCTTCATAAAGAAGTATTTCCCTTCATATTAGCCCAGGTCTTCATATGCAGAACCCTGAGAAGAGGTAGGGTATGGAGGCTAGTTGGGCAAGGCTGTGATGTACCAAACTGGACACCATGCCCTCTAAAGGGTTAAGTACTATCCTGCCTAAAATCCCATTCTTAACTGCATTAGGGAAAATTAGATACACTTATAATTAGATTGCTGAAATAAATGCCTATAAATAAATTACAATAAAAGACAGTCCACTGATTGAGCTCTTCAGTTCAGAAAACTAATTCCTTCAGCCTCGTTCTGTATAACATACAGAAAAATGAAGTATTTTACTTTACGTTGGCATACGCCACAGTCGATATGCCAAATCCTGTTCAGTAGCTTATATTGTTGAACTCAAACTGAAAAAAAAAAAGAAAAAGGAATCTGTGAAGATAGATGATGATCTTAGCATGATTCTGAACTTCTTTTAAACCTTCAATTGGATAGATACAAACATGGTCCAAGAACTGGCAACAAATGCAGTAAAAAATGGTGAAAGCAAAAATTACACATTTCTAGTATTGTCACTTCCCTCTAGTCATTTGTACACAGTAAGCCACACCAATAAATAAAGCGACTGGCTTTTCAGTAATGGACACTTAAATAGTTACAAACATACATGTAGCAAAAAGGATACAGTAGTGCAAAAAATAAATTACTAAAACAGAAGGCCGAAAATTTGACACAATACTGTATAAAACCTGAACCATTTGGAATGAGACCTCAATTCAGTGAAATAATGCAGCAACGTTACTAGTATCTCTGCTTCACATTTCAACCACACAGTCATTCATCTACGAAAGAAAATTAAAGCAAAACCACTTCAAACTTTCAGAAAATTTTATGGAAAAAAGTATTTTTTTCCAGACTCTTAAACACCTCTGCTGTTCATGTAGTAGTGCAGCATGTCAAGAACATCTTGAGTCATAAAGTGGCAAACAGACCACATTCTTTTGGTCTTTCTACTCCATTTCGTCCTGTGATCAACAGCAGGGTAATACCTCTGTTTGCTATTCCCTTTTGGAAAGATGTTATTGCAGTTACATACATTTACAAGACAACTCCCCCGGGGCAGTGGGGAGGGTGGGTGCTCCTCTTCCGCAATCCACTCTTACTAGTTTTTAGTTCGGGATATAAAGGACAGGACTCGCCGAATACCATTCAGTCTATCCTTTAAGGACCTCATCGCTAGGAATGGGAGCTGAGCTCGGCTTTCCAATGGGAGAACCGCTAATATCCACCAGCACCAAGCTGGACCATTCGGATTAACCTGTAACAGAGAAACACAATGAGTTCACCCTATTCTCATGGAAGTGGTATCAGTCTGCAGATTTCCAAAGCCTCTAGGTAAACATCCCAGGTAGAACTGCTTCTGTGTGTGGCAGAGATTAATTGCCCCCATATCCATTTTCTCCTTATTTTAGCTGGGCATACAGCCACCCAGAATAAAGACTACACTTCCCAGGCTCCCTTGCAGCTAGGTGAGGCCATAAGACAAAGTTCTAATGAGATGTAAAAGGAAGTGATATCTGTAACTTCTGGATCATGCTCTAGGAAAGGAGCATGTGCTCTCTGCCTTCCTCTTTCCCCGAGCTAGAACATGAACATGGTGATGATCAGCCTTCTTGAATCAAGATGAGAGCAACCTTCTAAGGATGATAGAGCTTTGTGATGAAGGAGCCTGGATCCCTGCATGAGCTCATGAAATAGAGCTGTCTTGGTGACACAGTGGTTAAGCATTTGGCTGCTAATCAAAAGGTCAGCAGTTCAAATCCACCATCCACTCCTGGGAAACCCTATGGGGCAGTTCTACTCTGTCCTATAGGGTCGCTATCAGTTGGAATCGACTCGACGGCAACGAGTTAGGAGGAGCCCTGGTGATGCAGTGATTAAGCACTTGGCTGCAAACTGAAATGTTTACGGTTTGAACCCACCAGTCGCTCCGTGGGAGAAGATCTGGCGATCTGCTCCCAGCCTAGGAAATTCTGTGGGGCAGTCCTACCATCATACAGGGTCACTATGAGTTGAAATCGACTTGAAGGCACACAACCACCACCACCATCCCTCTAGGACTTATGCCCTCTATCTGTCTTTAAGCTACCATTATTTTTGGTATTTATTAAAGCAGACAAATCAATATTCTAACAAGACACCATGCCTCCTAGCCAGTGTAATTTTATAAGCTGGAATATCCACTACTCAATCTCTTCCATTTCTAAGACTGCTTAGGTCTCTCTGCTCATGATTTCTGGAAGGTTAGTTTTAGGATAACACAGAACCACATTTTGGTCAAGCCACCAACACCTGGGATTCTTTGGTCCTAAATTGGTTCATCCGATCCTCCCTAAATCCATGACCTCTTTGCCTCTCTGCACCTCTACCTTCATTTGGACTCTTTTTGTCCCTCACTGTAGCCTGTACCATGTTCTCCCTCCTATTATCAACTCTGAATGTTAGAACTTTCTTTTCCAAGATCATTAACAAGAATATTTAAGCTGCTGTTAGTATTTGGGGCTGTTTCTAATAAACCTTCTCTTGAGGCTTAGAACATTCTTATTAGTGGGACCACTGGGGCTACAGCATTGACTGGAGCAAACTAGATGGTACTTTTTTTTTTTTTTTTTTTTTGCTGCTGCCACCAAAACAACATGATGACAGTTTTTAATAAGAAATGAAATGAAACCCAAGATTTCAGATTTCTGTGTCACTGAGCCCTTATGACTCATACTGTGGCATCTGTGTTTTCTCCTCTGAAAGATGCTGTAATCATTGTTAATCTCTATCTTTTGCCTGACTGGGGGAGAATGCTTCCCAGAAGGTGAAGGGGAACATTAAGCTTGATCATGAGCTTGCTCAGAGCTATGCTGTACTCCTGAGTCACAGCGGCCCAGAGCCAGGAGCTGGGTCATTGGGAAGCAGTAACTGGCCTTTCTCCCTTCAACACTCACGACGCCTTTGCATGGGGAAAAAGAGCCAGCTTTTTGGTTTGGAGAAAGCAAGACAGTTCAGACCATTAGGGAATAGATGGTTGTTTTCAAGCTCCTCAGAATGCAAGAAGCAGAGGGGACATGAGAGGCCTTCTCATCCACCTCTTTCATTTCAGAGATGAGGGAAAAGCTGAGAAAGGGAAGGGACTCGCCCAAGGTCACACGGCTAGAGAGGCAAGCAGGACCAGTCTTCTGGCAGAGAAGACAGAATATGCATATTCATATTATTCTATCGTGAAAGAGTTGGGAATGAGGGTAAGTAATGAATTAAGAAAGTTATAGAGGCAATCATGTAGGACAGCCAGCTTAGAATATGGGAAAAGGTGATGGTGCGGAAATACTTGCTCAGGCTATCTCTAGTCGTGTCCTAGAAAGTATTCCCTGAAGTGGAACTCCCTCAAAGTATTTGGTGGTTTATACCAAGCAAGCAAAGATTGGTGAAACGTAACTATTTCCATTTTCTGCTTCTCATCTGCAGCTTGATCTCCAAAATGGACCCACCCTCCCAGGAAATAGACTGATCCAGTAGAGCCAGATGAACTGCTTTTTAACTCAGCCAAGGATAAATTTAGAGATTGAGTCAGTTTTCTCTGGATCCGGTCACCCCAAATGAGGTCACTAATAAGAGTCTAGACCTGTAGGGCTAAGGTGAATGGGTCTGGGCATGAAAACTTTCTGTGGTCTTACAGCTGGAATCTTGTAAGGTAATTGGCCCTACCTCCTAGCTCCTGCAGCAACAGGGGAGAGAGTTATGAAGCTTTCTGGAAGCTTTGGTCCCAGCTCCCAGGATACCCTTCTCTTAAGCCCTGACATTGGCGTGTGTCTTGTCATCCTAACACATTACTATGATGTAAGTCTGGACTCCCACTGAAGGGTCTTCTATTGGTGGTGCCTGTGCTCCTGTTCTCTCATATGATTTATCTCTCAAAACCCATCTTGAATTCAAATTCCTACTGCTTTACTTTAGTTATCCCAATTCCGACTGGGATCCTTTTGGTCTTACCCATGATGTCCCCTGCCCAGTCAAACAATACCAAATTGGATCCATCTTCCTCTCTGCACTGGCGGATAGCAATCATACAGCCATCTAACCACATATCCTAGGTACTCTCACGCTTTTATCCGGTAGGGCAATCCACTATAAATAGACATTTTTATATACCTGGAGATCAGTATCCTTCTCTGGCATTGGACCAAAGTGATGAAGTATCCGATTCTTCATAGATGATTTGAGTGAATGAAACCACAGTGACGCTTGCGCATATACACAGTTATGTAACGTCAACAGCTCAGCATAATCTTCTCCTTGAACCTGGAATTATCAAAGTGGACGTGAAGCATTCTGTATCTTCTCCATCACTCCCAGAACCACTTTTAACACTTGACTCTCTCTGAGCATCCATCCTGTCTCTCTAGGGAAGGGTCACTCATCCAGCTTTCTCTTATGTAATATGGGAAAGGCCTCTCAGTCAGATATGTAAATACTGTGTGTAAATACTGCTGGGGGTGGAGGAAAGGGAAAGGTTCAGCTGGGTAAATTAGCTAAAACAGCAAGACATATGGGAAACCAGAGACTCTAACTGGCCTGAGTGGAGGGGGGCTGTTAAACTACGTGATGCTGATGTACACCTCTGCCCTTTTCATTTTTTACATCTGTTTTCCCATTGCTCACTAGGAAAAGAGACATGAATATGTTTGTGTCTCAGTGTGTAACTATCTTTCAAGCCAAATAGATTTATCCATTGGCCAACTATTTATCAATCTTGTACTCTGCAGTGAATGCAAATATAAACAAACATGGGATCATCTACCTTGTCTTCCATTCATTAGCTCAGAAAACCAAGGATTAACTGGACACGCAATCTTTCTACCTTATGGGATGATGGATTATGGGGAAGCGCTCTTAGCCAGGTGACACATTTGAAAACACATGTATATATGAATCTATAATTATCTCCAAGTAAAAAGTCAAATAAATAAATACATATATGTAGACCCCACTCCAGTCTGTCCCTTGGTACCTCTGGTATGGACCTAAACCCTGGGCTAAATGGGCCCTAGGGTTGGCCTAATATAGCATTTCTTACACGTGAATGCAACTCAGCAGATGAACAGGGAGAGCCAGGACAACTGTGCCCACCACCAGTTTACAACTGAATACCAACCCTGCAGCATTTAATGTTGCTGAAGTAATTTAGTGAGGCATCTCAAGGCCCCCAATAGTTCTGAGATATTCTTTTGTAACCATCTTTGTATACAAAGTTACAGGGATATTCTGGCTTTGGGATTTGGATGGGATGGCCACCCTTACCTTTTGATCTTCAATGTATTCAATGTCAGCTGTGCTGTAACCATCCCGCTGGCCCTGATGGAGCACCTTGAAGCGCCTCTTGCCTATGCTGTCAACCACTGAGCGGCCATCAGCAAAGAACTGAACATTTCTAATCTCTAGGATGCAGCCATATTCCGCAAATCTGTTTATTGAGAGTGGAGTTAAGAAAGTAGATCCTTGATAAGTTCTGTTTCCTTAGCCTTGTCCCCTGCCATTTCTGTAAACCTATGATGTACCTCAAAGGACTTCGGACAGTTTGCCTGTTCCAGGGTCTACAACAGGTAGTACCACCTGCGTGAAAAAATCTTAACGTATTATTATAACAGCTACCATCGATTGAGCACATACTACATGCCAGATACTGTGATTAGTGCTTTATGTGCATTAACTCATTAATCCTCTCAACAAACCCAATAAGGTATGCACTATTATTCTACTCACTTTACAGATAAGGAAACTGAGTCACAGAAAAGTTAAGCAACTTGCTCAAGGTCAAACTTACTCCAAGGCTGGAGCCAGAATATGAACCCAGGCAGTTTGGCTCACACTCTTATAAAACAAGTTTTATAATATATACCACCTGTTTAACAAAAGACTAATCCTGGGGTTCTTTTAAATAGGCAGCCTCTCAGATGGTAACCTAGGGGCTGGAGGGACCCTGATCTTTACAAATGCTCATGTCTTGATCTGGCTAAGTTTCATGAGCAGTGCCTCTCTGTCTCCTGGGAACACCTCAAGGTAAAAACAAACCCTCTTCACCCAACCTCCTTTTCCTCGCTTAGCTCCTCACTTACCCTTTAACAGGATCTCCAAGGCACATGCCAAACTGTCTTGTGCCTGTCTCAATGCATCTACGAATCATCAGACGGTAACAAGGCTCAAAGATGTGCAGGGGACAAGGAACGGTGGGATAGGCCATAGTACACACGAAAATAGGCACATTCTTATTTAAGCTGTCAGAAAAAGTAAATGACATGGATCTTAGAGCAATAGGGTGGAACACAGAAAGGTTGGACAAACATTACCTGTGGTGCCCCAGGAAAACAGCAAGGAAACATCAAGTTTTGATGGCTAACAGAAAAATACTGAAATGGAACTGATGCTGTGGGCTGAGTCTCAATATCTGGTGTGGAGACTAGCCTAATGGCTAAGATCATGCAATTCCTACACATTCTAATCTGGCTCAAGTAGTTCTCTAATACCTTATCATTACAGATGCTATTTATTCCTCATAAATTTTTCTTTCTTTCTTTCATGTTCTCCACTCAAAATGATTTCTTCAGGTGTTTTGCTGGCAGTATGGGGAAGGGTACTGATGCTCCCCAAAGGGATTGTGGGAAATTCTCTGCAAGGTCCCTGTAGGCAACTCAAAGTTTCAAAGCCCCCACAGAATCGGCATAGAAGGCCCAGCTGGGGGGTAGGAGGAGCAAGAGGCAAGAGTAGTTTAGCCCAGTGATGCTCAAACATTCCTGTGCGTCAGAGTCACCGGGGACATTTAAATACAGATGCTTGGGCTACTGAAATTTCAGAGACGCTGATTCAGTAGCTCTGGCATTGGTACCCAGGAGTCTGCATTTCAACAAGTGCCCCAGGAGATTCAGACACGCAGCCCATTGGGGAGCCACCAACCGGGCCAGCTTCTCCTGCGTCACTGTCCTCTTATTCGTCTAGCAAATCCAATACAGGAACATCTGAACGTAAAATCAATGATAGATATTGGACCATCTGGTCAACTCTCAAAAGGATCAAGTTTAGGATTCCTTTAAATAGAAAGCTCCTAGCATATTCTAGTGTTTGTTAATAAGACATTAAATAATGTTGACAAGAGTCCTTAAAGAGACACAAGACTAATTAATCAGAAATAAAGATAAAGATGCCCTGAGTGGTTCTAATATAAGTCAAAGAGAAAAAAGGACTTTGTTTCTAGATTTTCAGGAAAACCTGTTATTCAGAGTAAAAGGTACATTCAAATCGGTGGTAGAGTTTAGAAATGTTCCCCACACGTTGAGCATAAAAGCAGAACAGCTTCTGCCATCAGAAGCCTCGCCTCCAGAATCCTGTGAGGAGTTCTGTTCCACCAGAGATAGGGAGAGCGAAGGGAAGTAGTATGAGAGGCGGAGATTAGTGATTGCCTCCTGCCTTTTCTGCTAAGTGAGCTCTTCTTCCAGCCAGGCAGAGAGCTTGGAGCCCCACTTACGTCTCTGTTCCTATCCTTCACCTCTCACACTACCCGTACATGGCTTACTATGTACTACCTCACTTGATCTTCATAACAAGTACATGAGGTAAAAATTATTATTATCCTCAAGCCACATATGAGGAAACTGAGGCTCAGGGAAGTTAAGTGACCTGCCTAGGGTCATAAAGCATACTTACTTTGTGGCAAAACCGGGTCTTAACCCCAGGCCTGGCTGGTACCAAAGTTCTTAACCTTGTAGCACTCCCTCATGTATTTGAAGACAGTCTCTGGATACTTCTGACCCTTAGGTTCTCCTGGTTAAGCTACTCCCAATTTACTGACGCCAGTGACACACTGTCTTAGTGCCAAGCTGTGCCCTGGTTCAGCTCACGCTTCTTCAGTGGTGTGCTGATAAATGTTTAACAACTAGCTCTCTGAAAGAAATAAGCCCTGGGTTGTAGAACTTGCCAATTTCTCTGTTGTAAATACTCCCACCACGGCCAATTTCACACTACCATGATATCACTGAATGAGGAGGGGGAAGAGAAGTGTATATTCAGCTCTCATGAGCTGGTATGAGTGAAACCAAAAAATAGAAACATGCATATATATATATTTGTATATACTTAGAAAGTTCTTCCATTTCTTCTTCATAAAGCCTCCTTCGCTCATTGAGTTCTTCAGGAAGGAATTTAGCTATTAGTTCTTCCATTATTACAGTTTTGCTGTATTTTCTTGAAGCCAAGCACTATATGGGGAAGAACAAGCAATTAGATACTATGCAGTCATTGGAAAAACACAAAGCACTTTTGAGGTAATCAGAATAGTAAAACAACCCACATATTAGAGTAACTTGGACCCACAAATTAGCAGCTGATACTATCATAATGTATGTATTCTCTAGATGTTAGAGTTCAGTTTAAAAAACACATGCAATGAATTTATTTTTAGAATTATAAAAACTACTTTGACAAGAAAAAAATAAATTGAAGGTTTAAAACTCTCATAGCTTTCCCGAAACGCGGAAATTGAGATCATGTTCTTGTCAAAATATATATATATATATATATACACACCCCTCACTTCCTTCTTTCTGGTTTGTGTGTTTACCAGCTCACAGAAATGGTCTCTGGGACGTGCTGAAAGTCCGTGATTACAAGGTTTAGGGAACTAAAAAGCAATTTTGATCATTGATCCTTTCCTGCTATGCCCCTACCCACACCCCCCTCCAATGCTTGGCTTTTGGCTATTGCAAGTCTACATGTTTTGCTCTCCTCTAACTTCAGTTTAAAAAAAAAAAAAAAAAAGCTGAAAACTGGTGATTTTGTTTGCTTGTTTTGTCTATTTGCTTTTTAAATATACCATCTAGTTATCACTGAAATGGTGTTATATACAGGGATCTATAAGTTGCAGGCATTTAACAGTGTGAACCACCAGACAAGGGGCATTATAAACCGCAGCGGCAGCAAATTGCTCGCTAATGAAAACGATCTCTACAGACCCAGCAGGGGGAGCTCCTGAGTACAAAACTGCTCGCTTCAGATGTTTCTTCCTTTCCCAGTGTGGGCTGTGTCTGTCTATTCTGCAGTAAACGTGACTGGAATAAGATATTTATCTCTCTGTAAAATGCTGTGTGATCCTGTGCGAATACACAGAGATAGGTGAACCTATCTTCTAGCCCCTGAGTCTATGACCCCACAGCATCTGCTTCCAAGATGCCTTATCAGCCACTACCATCACCTGCCTACAAGAGAATCAACTGCTTTGACTAGGGTCCCAGTCTTTGGAGAAAAGCAGTGACTCAGAAGACAACCAATCCGAGAAGGAGGTGACCCCTCAACTGATGCTAAAACAAAAAGCCTAGGAAAGGCGCATGCTAGAATGTTAACACTGGTTTTCTCTAGGCGATGAGCATATGGGTCGACTTTTCTTCTTTCTGCTTCTCTGAATTTGGCAGTGTTACCATGATGCAAAAGTATGATTTAAGTAGTCACAAAGACCATGAGCTTCTCACTTACAATCAGCCCAGCAAATCCCATCCCTTTATCTAGGGAAGGGTATGACAACAAGCCTCTCCCCCAATCCCAGTACACATCCCCAAAGTTACCCTTCATGTTTTTTTTCATTTCATTCCCTGAGTTTAAATGTTGGGGTGTTAAGAAAGCTCAACATGTGACTTCTCTGGACCTACATTCACCTAGAAATAGACCTGAGTCCCCAGCCTCACCGCAGGGATGAAGGGGTCAAGGAACAATAATTAAAAAAAAAAAAAAAAAACCTATTGCCGGCAAGCTGATTCAGACTCATAGTGACCCTACAGGACAGAGTAGAACTGCCCCATAGAGTTTCCAAGGAGCGCTTGGTGGATTCAAACTGCCGACCTTTTGGTTAGCAGCCGGAGCTCTTAACCACTACGCCACCAGGGATCCAAGGGACAATAATACTGATTATAAAATGTGGCACATAAGCCCAAGGGAGTGAAAACAAGACAGATTCCCAGGATCCTTTTTCTGCTATAGAAATTTTATCAGGGCCACTTGAAAAACGAAGGTGGGAGGTTGTGTGATTAATTTTAGAGGATCTGAACATCTCGGACCTTTTGAAGTCACCAAGTATCTGCAAATAAGTGCAGTGGCTCCCCAAGGGTGAGACCAGGATCACACTGAAAGTCTACGAGGTTTCTCTCGCGTCTTGGTAGCTGATTTCTTTAAACCATGGAGTAAACATCAGTGACAAGGGGATTTCAGAGCTTATCTAGTCCAAGCCCAAAGAGTACAAAAGATTCACTTAAGATTACAGTGAATCAGGTGCCTGATATGCTGGGATTAGAATCAGGATTTATGTTTATCATCTGACTAGCTAATACTTTTGTTTCCAACACAAATTAATTTTGCTACTGACAATTAATAAAGTTAGATGCTGCCTCATTTTCCTGAAGTACTTCGTGGAAAAGGGAGAGGGTGGCTATAAGACAAGAAAAATAGATGGTCTGAGGGGGTATTTTTCCCTTGCACAATGTAGCAGCTTCTGGGATCTTACTGGACATTGTCTTAGTACCTAATTACAAATAAACCGACTCAATCAAGAAAGAAATAATTTTTTTTTTTTACCTGTAAAAGGCCATCTTTGCACAGTGGACACTTCGCGTTGTGATCCAGGCACCTTTCGAGGCATTTCAAGCAGAAGGTATGCCCACAAGGTGTTGTAACTGGCTCATAGAATAATCTGAAATTTAGGAATCAAAAAGGAAGAAAACTGCAATAAGATAAACAATAAGAAGCTACTAACGGTTACAGTTCTTGCAGCATTGTTTGGAAATCTGGCGGGGGGGTCTTTCTTTTTTGTTATGATTGCTGTTGTTGTTACACTTCAGGAGAGTATTTGCTTCCCACTCCTGAGCTGGATTTCAAACAATGCCTTTATTAAAGTTTACGGTATAGTTAGACGATTTTTGTAACATTAGTTCTAGTCAGTCTCTTCTGTGGCATCCAGAGTTTTTTTCCCCATCTGATCCCAGAAAAATAGAGATTAATGTCCAGCATGTCTGAATAGACTCCATTCTAAAAATATTTCAGCAACCTGTTCAACTGAGTATATGCAAACACACAGATACTCACACACACACCAACACGCTCTCTCTCTCGCACACACACAGACACACACATGTATCCATTTAAGCACTTCATATATTACCACAGAGAAAGACGTTGTTTATTTGCTAGCCTTGATTCTTATTTTCACCTAAGCAACACTTACTGCCTAAAGGATATTGAAACTGTACCTCTAACAAACACGTAACTGTCATTTATATGGATGGATAATTTTCCTAGGGACAGTAGAGTAATATTGTTAATATGCTACTGAAATACACACACACACACACGCACACACACTCCAATTATAGCCTATTGTAATTGCTTTGGGGAAGCTGGATACTTTCAAAGCAATCTGGGGATCCTTTTATAAAGCCGTTCTATACATTCAAAGATTCGTGCATTTACATCGCTTAAAGAAAGGCTCACCTGCAGCAGGACCAGTGGGTGGGGGCAGATGAAGATGATAGCTCAGAAGTAGGGCTTGTGCTCGCCAAATGGGCGAGTACAGAAAGAAGGGAAAGATGCCTGACCAGCCTACTTTGACCTCACAGGCTTGTTCAGTTGAAAGAAAGAGGCAGCCAGATGCACAGCTCCCTCGTGTGACCTGGAGGTGCACCAGCAGCCCAGCCGGCATTGCCAGGCTGAGCAGAAGAATCCAAATGTCAGAGCTGAAAAGGACTTGAGAAGAAATTGAATCCATCGGCTCAGAATGAAACCGAGGTCCAGAGGGGGAGAAGTTGCTTGTCTAAGTGTACACAGCCAACTGTTGGCAGATGGAAATCTATCCAACTTCTACTTCCAGTCCTGTGCCTCTTCTATTACAACAGTGATTCTCAATCATTGCTGTGCATCAGGATCACCTGGGGAGTCTTTAAACTGCTTTGCTGGTATATAACTGATGTGCAATAACTGCACATACTTAAAGTGTACAATCTGGTAAATTTTTACATAGGCACACATCTAGGGAAACATCACCACAATTAAGATAGTGAACATACCCACCATCCCCTAAACTTCCTCATACCCCTCTGTAAACCCTCCCTCCTGCCCCTCCTCACCCCACCACCCCAACTCTGCCTCCATTAGTAGGGAGGCTTTAAACAATACAGATGCCTGGGGCCTCACCTGCAGAGATTCAGAGTAGTTGGTCTAGGGTAAGGCCCAGGCATCAGGGATTTTTTTCTAAGGCCCTTCCTGTGATATTGGAGCCCCGGTGGTGCAGCCGTTAAGCCTTTGGCTGCTAACCAAAAGGCTGGCAGTTTTAATCTACCAGGTGCTCCCTGGAAACCCTATGGGGCACTGCTACTCTGTCCTATAGGGCCGATATGATTCGGAATCGACTCAACAGCAACGGGTTTGGGTTTGGGTTTTTCCTATGATTTTAACATGTAGCCACGATTGAGAATCACTATATTACTCAATCCTACTAATCTCTGCATAGGTGAACCTTCTGAATTGGTTTCCAAACCTAATTAGCAGAATTACCTATGGAGTTTCCCAAACATACACATATCCCAGCCCCAGTGACTAACGTTTGTGATTCAGTAGGTCAAGGGAAGGGTCAGAGAGCTTACATTTTTAACAAACCAATGAAGGTCTGGCATAGGAGAGAGACTTTTAATATATTCACTTCTCTGTACTTTTTGATTTTTATCCTGTTTTAAAAGTAGTTCATTTATTCAACAAAATTAATAAATCTTAGTTGTTAAATTTCCAAAAAAGTAAAAACAATTTTCAAAAAAACTGTGATGGAGGTCCTAACTAGTGCACTAAGGCAAGAAGAAAAATGACAAGTATGAGAATTGGAAAGAATCAAACCTGGCATTATTCACAAATGGTATGACGGTGAACTTAGGAAATATAAAAGAATCCACAAAATGATTTTTAGAATAACAACTAATAGAATTAGCAAAGTTGCTAGATAAATACGCATATACACATACACACAATTGTAGTTCTATATAACAGCAACAAACTTTAGAAAATAAATTTTAAAAGATTATGTTTATAATTGCTTTTAACAGTCAAGTGCCTGAGAATAAAGCTAACAAAAGTTGTCCAAGACCTCTACTGGAAACAACTATAAACACCTCACTGAAAGAAAGTAAAAAAAGACCTAAAATGTGCCAATAAAAATCTCAACAGGCTTTGAAGACCTGGCTCAGTTCATGGAGTTGTTGCAGCTGCTGCTTGGTTGAGTGGGTACTTGTTGCATTGGAATAAAGTCCTAGGGGTTCTTGGACACTCCCTGACTTACATCTCTCTCTCTAAGGGGGAATGCCCCAGGCTGATAGAACCTTGTTATTGCTTACTTCAGGGTATCCCATTCTCAAAAAGTAAAAAAAGACCTAAAACATACCAATAAAAATCTCAACAAGCTATTTCATTTGTTTGTTTTTGGGGAACTCGACAAGTTGATTCTAAACTTTCTATGGAAAAGCAAAGGGCCAAGAAGAGCCAAGACCCTTCTGAAGAGCAACAATATGGAAGCACTTGTTCTACCAGACATCAGAACTTATTATGAAGCGGTAGTGATTAAAACAGGTGTAAGACTAGCACGAGGACAGACAAATAGACCTATGGAATAGAATCGAAAGCCTAGAAATAAACTCAGACACAGATTCTTGATTTATGACAAATGTGGTACTGCAAAGCAGTGAGGAAAAGGGCAGTCTTTTCAATAAATGCTATTGGGATAGTTGGATATCCATAGTGGAGAAAAATGACATTGGACCGTCCCTCATGCCATACACAAAAATCCATTCCATGTGGGTTATAAAAATGGATGTAAAAACAAAACAGTACAGCTTTTAAGAGATAAAATATGGCAATATCATCATGACTTCAAGTTAAAAAAAAAAAGAATGATTTCTTGAACAAGTCACAAAAACACTATAAATAAAAAATTTGATAACTCAGACTATATTAAAATTAAGAACATCAAAGTTCATCGAAAGGTGCCACTAAGAGAGCAAAATGGCAAGCCACAGAATGGGAGAAGGTATCTGCAACACATCTGACCAACAAAGGACTTGTATCTAGACTATACATAGAGCTCCTATAGTAAGATAAGACAACCCAGTGGGAAAAATGGGAAGACTTATATGCACCAGGATATGTAAAAATTATTCATAGCATTGTTGTTCATAATAGCTCAAAACCAGAAACAACCCAAATATCCATCTATAGTAGAAGCGATAAACAGTGGTAGATTCATACTATGGAATACTATATGACAATAAAAATGAACAAATCTCATCCAGATGCAATAACATGGATAAATTTTAACTTAATACTAAGTAAAAGAATCTAGACCAAAAGAATACATTCTGGATGATTCAATTTACACAATGTTAAAAAAAAAAAAACAGGCAAAACTAAATTATATGGTTTAGAGATGCATACACTGTGGTAAAACCATAAAGAGAAAACAAAGAGCTAAAAGTCAAGACAGTTTTGAGGTTTTGAGGTTTTGAGGTTTTGAGGAGGGGAGCTTGTGATTGAGAAGGAGCAAATGGGCAGCTGCTGGGGTCTTAGCAGTGTTCTATTTCTTGAACTGAGAGGGGTTACTTGAGTATTCTCTTTACAATATTTTGTTAAACAAATACATTCATATTTTATGCACTTTTCCACTGTGTAGTATATTTCAAATTTAAAATACTTTTAAAAAGTGTAATTTGCAGCCTGATTTGGGAGCCACTGCTGTGATCTAACTAGTGGAGCAGCCAAACCAGAAAATTTCATTTCCAACAGGGGCTTATCCTCAGTAGCTTGAGCCCTGTGAATCTGCTTTTTATACGTTATTTGATGATGCTAATGATGAAGATGACTGACAAATCTGCATCTGTAACCAATACTCAAAATGATTTTTCCTGAGAATTTCACAACTGGACCTATTGTTCATTTAAGAATGCAATCCACATACTATAACAAAGCTATCGCGCTAATTAATTGCAATAAATACTGACATTTAGTGAGCAGATGAAACATACAGAAAATGACAGCAATCTCTTAGCAAAAGCTACGATTAAAATGACTCCGATCTGAGTGGTAACAACCAAGAATGCTGCCACAGATGCTGCATAATTATTGCTTAGTAATAATTCAAGGTTCAGATGCTTAGAAGATAGCATCTTTCAAAACTCAATCCACTTGTATATTCAGGGCTACTCTGTTACTCCATGGTATTTTCAATCGCCTCCTATGCATGCGAAAGCTGGACAATGAATAAGGAAGACCGAAGAAGAACTGATGTCATTGAATTATGGTGTTGGTGAAGAGTATTGAATATACTATGGACTGCCAGAAGAACGAGTTAAGTCTGTCTTGGCAGAAATACAGCCAGAGTGCTCCTTGGAAGCCAGGATGGCAAGACTTCAGCTAATGTACTTAAGACATGTTATTAGGAGGGGCCCGTCCCTGGAGAAGGACATCATGCTTGGTAAAGCAGAGGGTCAGCAAAGAAGAAGACAACTCTCAATGAGACGGACTGACACAGTGGCTGCAACAATGGGCTCAAACATAGCAAGGATTGTGAGGATGGCGCAGGACCAGGCAGTGGTTCGTTCTGTTGTTACATAGGGTCGCTGTGAATCAGAACAGATTCGACGGCGCCTAACAACAACAACAACTCTGTTACTCTGCAAAGGTTGACTGGGTAAGGTGATTGGGAACAGACGGAATATATGTCACTTGCTATCCTAAGTGTGTGCAATACTATGTTTCATATGAATTGATTTTATATATTAACAGGTGAGAATTATGCTTGGCTCCATCCTACTATTAAAGAAATCAAGACTCAAACAGGTTAAATAACTTGCCCAAGGTCACACAGCTAGCTAGTAAGTAGCAGGGCTTGGGTTCTGACTCCCAAGACCATCTTTTTTCTCTACCATATGACCCAGCCATGACTATGCATATGCTGCTGTTAAGTGCTGATTTTCAACTCATAGTGACCCTATGTGACATAGCAGAACTGCCCCATAGGGTTTCCTAGGCTGTAATCTTTACAGGAGGAGATCGCTAGGTCTTTTTTCCCACAGAGCCGCTGGGTGAGTTCGAACCACCAACCTTTCAGTTAGCAGCTGAACACTTAACCACTGCGCCACCAGGGCTCCTTCTGACTGTGTATATCTAGATTGAAAACAGACATCATCCATCTACATGTAGCGACACACACTCATACACACACTCTTCTCCCTCTCTCTCTCTCTCTCCAAAGATAGATAGATATAGATACACAGATATTCCAATTCCTCTTCCTTTTATTTACCACTTTAGCTAGTGATTCAGAAAACACTTCAGGGAGGCATTTCTAAATCAGAGCAGTACCAGATTTTCTCACAAGAAAGCATTTTACATTGCCACAGTGATGGAGTAAACAATAGTAATAATACATGCTTTCAGTTAGATGTCAGCTCAGATAAAATGTTTGGCTTGTCTGGAAATGGCTATCATTTCCCACCAGTTACATCCTTGTATTGTATTCTTTTGTTGCTATCAAACGAGAGCAAAGAGGGAAAGAGAAGGAGGGAGGGAGGGAGGGAAGAAGGGAGGAAAGGAGGGAAGGAGACAGGAAAGGAGGGAGAAAGAAGAAGAATGAACTAACTCCTAACACCCAGCTACCTGAGTAGATGAAATTAGGTTAACTATAAAGCTGCTCATTTCAATTGACAAAGAGGTCACTGGGCCATTAGGTAACTGGTTCAAATATCAAACATTCTCAATTTGCATCTCAAAATACCTTTGCTACCCAGGGCAGCCCCAGAGGCACCCCTCTAATGGCTAGGGTACTAGGTGAATCTCAAAGGGGGATTTTCAGTCATTAAAGATGGAGGGGCAGAGTTCTGAGGTGTTGGGATTAGAAGGTGTCTTCCGTCAGCAGGGAGTCCCTAGGCAGTGCAAATGGTTAATGTGCTCGGCTGTTAACTGAAAGGTTAGAGGTCTGAGTCCACTCGGAGGTGCCTCGGAAGAAAGGCCTGGTGATCTGTTTCTGAAAGGTCACAGCCATGAAAACCCCATGGCGCACAGTTCTACTCTGACACATATGGGGTCGCCATGAGTCAAGGTCGATGCAAAGGTAACTGGTTTCCCTCAGCAGAGCTCTCCTAATCCAGCAACAGAGACTGGAAGATCGGAAAGTTCTTCATTAATGCACCCTTCAATTCTTGTCCCATTCACTCTTTCCACCCTTTTCCCTATGGAATTTATAACCTGCTCCTGATTGTCTCTCTAGAATCAGATAGATAAATTCACACTCTAACTTGCCTTTCTACCAATGCAGCACCATGGGACTAGATGTCATTCTAGAAAGTTGCACAGGAAGTACAAATTTCTAGTTTCATAACCAGGCAGACCGTTTGAGAATATTTCTACCCTTAGACACCCTCCTCCAAAAACACATAAGGGTAATAATAGAATCTAACAATAATCCTAACAATATTAAAAACTTAGTACTGAAAGAGGTAGAAACAGGAGCTTTTTCAAATCTGCAGTAACTCAAGCCAAAGGAGGCATGTGAAAAAGTCTCTGTCAACATCTGATTTCTAACTTAGAGAGAAACCCCGTTGGAAGGAGAACTACATGCTTCTAACCAAGAGTTACGACTTTGAGAGCCTCAAGATCAGAAATGCTATCTAGACTTGGCAGCTTTCTTTTCGCCATAAGCAGCTAGAGTCCAGCCATAACTTACCAGTCTATAGCAACAGCTACTCCAGGCAAAGATGGGCTTTTGTTTTGAAGTCTCACTTGGAACAGGGGGAGAAGATAAGGGAAACAATGGTTTTTAAACTCAGAGAGTGAGTAAGCTAGAAGGGGGTCTTATTCTGTTAGTGTTTATTTCTTGGACCAAATTTCCAACCCTTCTCCAAAGCACCCTGCTGAGATCAGGGACAAACAAGATGAAAGGGAGAAAGGAGAGGAAGGGGGGAGGAAAAAAGAACTTAAAACTCAGGATTCTTAGTCCTCAAGAAAACATAAACAGGATGAGTCTGTATGTTTGAGTCCATGTCCCCTGGATGTTGGGAGAAGTGTTAACAAGAATAAGAACAACAAAGACCTGGTCTTTCTGAGTAAGCTCAATCAAGTCTACCCAAAGTCTGACATCTGAAGGACCATGGCTCACATCATGGGGCTTAGGGCCACTATGATGTTACCTGCGGAAGCCCAGCTCTCTGCTTCAAAGCAGAGTTTCTCTATTTTATACGTTGCCTCTGGCATGTCCCACCTGCCACTTTGCTGTGAGGTCTTTAGAAGGGGTGAGGAGCACAGGGAGGTGGAAAAAGGGAACTGGTTAGATAGCCCATCCCACGCTACCCAACTCCACCTAAACAAACTCCTGACAGTATATGGAAGGCTTTCTTGTTTGAGTGCTTCTACACTCCTTTTGCTGAACTGTTACACTGAACTGTTCATTATCAGGTCTGCCCAAACTTATGAGCAAATCTGACAACTATAATTTTTTTAAGAGAAAGAAAAAGTACACGTTCCAGGTAACTGCTTCCTTATTCATTCTGATCCACACAACAAGAGAAGTCCTTCAGAATACAAATGTGTGTGACTGATAGGGCAAGCATGTGTGCTTGTAAAGGGCAAGAAAACATCTGAGGATTCTCTGTTGGCTGGATCTCACTGTGTGGTGGAACTTTGACACCTTTTCTCCTCTATCTTCTTAACAATCTTTGTACAAATATCTCAGCCTACTTTTAATGGTCTTTTGAAAAACAGACTCGTTTGAGATCTACTGAAATTTCTGGACCTTTTCCTGGAAACAAACACATACACATACATACACACACTTTTACATAGAACTTCAGGGAATTCACAGATCTACTAGAATCCATACACAAAACCTCCTCAAGGGTCCATGGACCTGAAGTTTAAAACGTCTGGTCCAGAGGGAAAAATAGTTAACACTTATTAAGTATTACTATATGACAGGCACTATTCTGTGTTTTAAATAGATTTTCTCAATCATCATAACAAACCTATTGTTCTCTGTTTTCCTTATGAGAAAACAGCGGTAGAGACTGCAATTTGCTCCAGGTCAAACAGCCAGTAAGTGGCAAAGCCATGATTCAAACCCAGGCTGTCTGGCTCGGAAGCCCCTTGTTTTAGCTACCAAGTCACAACTGTGAAGTGCAACCAATGAAAACGCAAAACTTTTGTATTTTATATGGTTACACAGACCGGGGGCACAGCAGCTTTGTTTTTGAGGGAGGGGGGATAATTTGCCTTGCCAGAGATCCGAGAAGGTAGACAGTGTGGCACTGGGTGGAGGAGAGACGGTCAGCCAAGTAGCTCACAGCTAACACTTTTCATGACACAGAACAAAAGCTAGTCAGACCCTCTACTTGGCTTCCAAATAACAGGCCTATGGCACTGGTATTAGCCCTTGAGCTCTGAGTTCTTAATCCAGTAATTGAGATTAGTTCCAGGATCACAAGCTTAAATACCTACAGGAACCAGGAAACTAATGCAAATGTGAGATATGGGCTGGTGTAAGGCAGTGGGAGGTGTTGGGGACCATGGCCGACTGGGGAGTATATTTAACTAGAAAAACCTGCGAGGGTCAAACAAAGGACATATTCAGTTAGGTTGCAACCTCTGGGTAGACTGTTCCCTTCTCACTCTCCAAGTATTTTTAAGTCAGGAGTCAGGAATGCAGTCTGCAAACAGAGGATACAAGCTAGCCCATTGTGACAATCAACGTTGTGATTTCCATTTCGTTCAAACCATGCCTTCACATGCTAACCGACTGAGCAGGCAGGTCATTAGGAGAAAGTTCCAGATATCCGAGAGGAAGAAACATCAGGCAGTAAGTGATAGCCCACAGCACGTACCTCATACATAGTGAACATTCAAGGTCAGATGCGTCAAAAGATGCGAATGGAATATTGAGAGCAGGTTTGGCCCCCTGATCAGTGGGAGATCCTGTAATTTAGAAAGCAGTTAAGTCAGAGCTGGACCAACCTCGGTTTTGCACACAGTACTTCTGAGGCAAAGAGGGCCCAATTATTTTTTCAGTTTGTCACTCTAGCCACCTCCCAGAGAGTTGATTTAGTGGTCACCTGAGCCACTGAGAATGGGATACCCTGAAGTAAGCAATAACAAGGTTCTAGCAGCCTGGGGCACTCCCCCATAGAGAGAGAGATGTAAGTCAGGGAATGTCCAAGAACCCCTAGGACTTCGTTCCAGTGCAACAAGTACCCACTCAACCAAGCAGCAGCAGCAACAACTCCATGAACTGAGCCAGGTCTTCAAAGCTGAGACTGAATCTTGGCACTGCCAACCTCTCTTGGAAAGACATCAAGCTGCAGCTGCTGCTTCTTAGATGCTTACCTATGGGAGCACAACTGGGAGTGAGCAGGGTAAGGCCTGACCACACTTCCCTGGTCCTACATTTCTGGATGGAGGTAGAGGGTAGGTTGGCCTGGAAGGAAGTGACACCATCAAGGGCATAGGCTGTCATTATTTGATACCATGCTTGACCGCCTTGGCTAGCTACTATAATTATTATTGAACACTTACAGTGTGCTAGGCACTATGCATTATCACACAGAAACCTCCAGCAACCTTCTGAGGTCACCAGCTGATAAGTGCCAGAGCTAGGCCACACCCAGAGCCTGAGGAGCCCCCATATGGGGGTCAAGTAATCTGCATATATTGATGAGTCCAGGCATCTCATTCAAATTCCTTTCTCCCTGGGTAGAGTTAGTACCTTGCTTGGAGGCTTTATTAGGCATGTCCAGGCCTTGGGGTTCAATATAACAATGTTTCCTTTTCTTTTTCTGGCATTTTTCAGTCTTGGTGGAGTCAGCCTCTGGAGAAGCAGTGTCCCTCTTCTCCTCTTCTCCTTCTTCCTGGTCTTGTTGACCATCCACCTTTACTTGAGCTGGCCTGGCAGCTGCTTCTTCCTGACTAAAACAATGAGGGAGCACTGGATTTTCCTGGAGGAAGGAAGAGCCAAACATCAGAATCTACTTAGGACCAATATTGTTCTGTGATATTCCTACCCACAAGGGACAAAGAGAACAACTGTGTAGCCCTGATCCCCACCCCTGATCATTTAGTAGACACATCGCTAAACCAGGGCAGTCATAAGGCATACTTCCCATTTCCTGTCCACGCAGCATCCGTAGCAAAGGCATGCCCAGCTTGGGTGGAAGTGGGGAACTTCCCTAGGCAAGCATCTAAAGGTGTGTGTCGGGGGGGCAGAGAAAATCCTCGGGAAGTGGTGAAGGGGAGAAATGCAAGGTAGAGCACCAGCCCCCCCTCCTGTCCAAATCATTCCCCAGTTACCATTTTAGGGAAACCAGGGCATGCAGTGAGGGTAGATCCTGTCACTTAATACTTCCTCCCACCCTCACTGCCATTCCAGGCCATCTGTAATTCCCAACCCCCAGCTCCCAAAGGACTTTTGGTGAGTCTTTGGCACAGGTTTGTTCATAGGCCTGCAAAGTCATCTCATGCCCCAGAGCTGTAAGTTCTATTTGTCAAATGAACTAGCAAAAAACTATTCCTTTCTCTAGATTTTAAGTGAAAAGTCTGAAAGAGGGACAAAATCATGGCAAAACAATCAATAATGTCTCTAGCCTTTTAAAGAATTTTTGCCCAGGAAAGGGATATTTGAAAATGGATCTAGAAAGAAATCCAATGACAATGTGTTTACGTAGATTTACCTGGTGAAACCCCTCTCTAATCTAAACCCATAGTCCACAAGTCAAAATGTTCATGTTGTTTTTTTCCCTCCAGCCCTTACCAAAAAAAAAAAAAGCTGCTAGATAAATGAAAATGGGGAGCATAGAGTTGGGAGGAAATAACGAGGTGAGGAGAAAAGGGGATGTGGGTTTTCTCAGTCTCTGACCTGTGGGGTTCAGGTTCTTTTCAGCATTATAGCAATACTAGGGGCCCTGGCGACGCAATGATTAAGCGCTCGGCTACTAACCAAAAGGTTGGTTGTTTGAACCCACCCAGTGGCTCTGTGGCAAAAAGACCTGGTGATCTGCTCCCATAAAGATTACAGCCAAGAAAACCCTATAAGGCAGCTCTACTCTGTCACATGGGGTCACCATGAGTTGGAACAGACTTGACCGTACCTAATAACAATAGCAATACTACATCCTCAACTTTCCCTGCGCCCAGGGAATTGTCCATACAGGAGTACACTGCTTTGTAAAGCAAAATTAGGAGGGAAATCTAATCCCTGTTCCCCAGCTAACTCACATTGGAATGTTAAAAAAAAGTTGCCATCAAGTCGATTCTGGCTCATGGCATGTGTGTCAGAGTAGAACTGTGCCCCATAGGGTTTTCAATGGCTGATGTTTTGGAAGTAGATCACCAGGCCTTTCTTTCAAGGTACCTCCGGGTAGACTCGAGCCTCCAACCTTTTTGTTAGCAGCCAAGCAGATTAACCATTTGCACCACCCAGGGTCCCCTACTGGAATGCCAGAGGTGCCATTTTTCTTCATTTCAGATTGAGCTGCAATTAGAAGTCACTCCAGGCACTTCAGTTCAGTATTAGAGTTCCCAATCATGTAGTAATGATCTCAGACAACTACTGAAATGCACTAGGGATTCTCTAATTTCAGGAGATACTCTAAGTGTGCTGCCTTTTTTTTTTTTTTTTTTTAAGTTGGGCACACCTGCATTTTATTGCTTCTCCAGATCAGGGTGGGAAAATGTAATATTTCCACCTGTCAGAGCATCCAAGAAGCCACTGAGGGCCCAGGGCTTAATTACAGGGGAAGAACATAGGGAAGAAATAGAGGGGAAATTACTGCAGAGGTGCCCAGATACTCAGCACTCAACTCTGCCTTCAAATCTGGACTTCTGAGCCCCACTTTCTGCCCAGTCATCCTCTGCTGGGAAAGCCAGGGTCAGGACCCCATCTCTCTGTGGTTCTGTTCCCTCATTTCAAAGAAAGGCACAAATACCCTTCTTCCTCCCAGGAACTTCAACTCAATACCATTCCGAAATCTATTCTCTCTTCTCTGCTACAAATACGTATTGGAAACCTACGTATGTGTATGGCACAGTGAAGGAATATCAAATTGCCTCCACTTGGCAATCAAATGGAGTTGTCTTTGCACAAGGATCTCAGCCAGTGCTAACAGGCCAGCAGCTTGAACAAACAAAAAGCACACAAGCAGGGGCTTCCAAGCCCTCTTCCCAGGCTCTGCCCCGAAACTGGAAAACCCACCCCAGTTGTATGGCTTCAGGGTAAGTGGATCAATACCTTTCTACTTCTAGCAAATCTATTACTTGGCTGAATCTGACCAAGAATTTAAAAATAAAATAAAATAAATAAACAAACCCTGGGGCCATGCCTGAAAGTCAGTTTTATCTTAAAGCAATAGCCTTCCTAGCAAGGAACACCAACTACTAGTGATTCCATTTCTTCTTTCTCGGGAGCTGGAGTAGGAGAGCTAGGGCTCACTCCCCATGTTTGCCCACAAAATAGCCAAACGAAGCACCACGAGCGAGCTTGAGTTTTACCTGTGACAACTTTGGTAGATTATGGCTGATGCCTTCAGTAGCCATTGACTCTACTTGTTCCTTTAATCTAGGGTGAGATGCCAACAGCTTCAGGATATCGGTAATATGTTCCTGAGACTCCCCCGGGACTGATGGTGAAAACAAACTAAGGAGAAGCTGTGACATAAAACAGAAGACTTCACTACTTAAGTTTCTACAGGTGCTCAGGTGAAGGGGGGAGGGGAAGGAAAGGGCAGGGAGTATAGCTTGCAGGGCAAAACTCCAGGGAGGAAGTCACAGCCCCCTGACACACCAGGGCAGAGGTCCTCACACTTCAGTGTGTATCAGACTCACCTGCGGATCTTATGAAAAATCCAGGTTCCCAATTCCCACTCCCATCCCCAGTGGGGCCCAGAATCTGGATTTTCAAAAGGCACCATAGATGTCTCTATTAACAAGCCAAAGCTAAGAACCACCACTCTGGTGCTAGAAACATCTGCAGTGAGATTTTTAAACCCGTCTGGGAGGAAAGAGACAGAGAGGTGAAATCAGGAGAGAAACATCAGTTGGAGAACCTGGAGCCATGTCCGTGTAACACTCCAGTGGGTAGAAGTCTACAAATGTCTCCTAGGTTCCTCACTGTTTCTTTTCTCTGCCTACCCATTTTCCTTCCCCACCACCCAGCCCCCCACCATCACCTCTGGATCATTAATCCCTTCAGAGGTGGGGCCTGAGCAGTAAAGTGTTAGGAAGAGCAGAACCCACCCTTCCTCCCTCTTCTCCCAGCCTTTCCTCCCCAGTTCTGGTCTTCACTTTCCAGGGAATGTCTGGTAAGTTCAAGTATCAGGGGCCAGGCAGGCAGGGCCCAGGCTATTGCCGGTTTCCCTTGCAACTGGATAAGCCAGTGGTAAAGTGAGAAGAACCAGAAGGGGCTGGGAGTTAAAGATGTGTTTCCTAGTGCAGGCTGCACCTTTAACTCTCCACAGTCTTGCTTCAAATCTCCCCTGTGCCAGCAGATATTATGAATAGGTATCTATATATCATGTAACACAGGAGGACAGGTCATTTGGCTTCCAAAACATACTCAAGTGTTTACCACCAAGCACCCTCTGTAGTGTTTGGAGACTCACTAAAGGATGCCCACACCCTTGGCTCAGTGTAAACAGTCAGGGAATGAAATAGGACATCAAACTCTCTCCAGTTTGACTGGTTCCTTTGCTGGCCCCCAGTAGCTCCTTCATGATGTTCCTTCAGATGCCAGCACTTGCCACGTAGCCAAATCCTGCTCAGCCTTCAAGGCTCAGCTCAAGTGCTGCATTGCCTTACTACTCCAGCCTCCCTGATCTCTCCTTTCCTTTCATGTTCTCTAGTGAATCATAATATAGCATCTTATACTACCCAGTCTTGTGTAAGCTTCGAAGTGCATCACAGATATAAGTCTTTCACTCCAACCGGATGGCAGACCTCTGGAGGGCACATAACAGATGTCCAATAAATACTTATCACATTGGATGGAATTGAATTAAGATACTTATCCATCCCAGGCCCCAGGAGGAGGCCTAGCATTCAGGCCCAAAGGCCCCAGCAGATCCCTGTTTCCCCCAGCCCTCGGAAACCCACGTCTCAGGTATAATAAGTTGGCAAAGGAGTGAGATGGAAAGGTACTCACTGTACTCAAAGCCAGAAACTGCAGCTTTTCAGAGGTTCTCCCTTCCATAGAGGCCAAAGATGGCCCTTAGAAGCACTCCTGAGTGACCCAAAAGGACCAACCCACGTATGAGGCAGTCTCCTTGGAATTCTTCCAGAGAGGGTGATGTCTTTCAGTAACAGTCACATGGCATCCCAAGGTACAAAGATCAAAGGGGAGAGCATGGTGGGAGGGAAAAGGAGGTAGAGGGGAGAAATCAAAGGAAACAAGGCAGAAATAATAGCAGCACTTCCCTTTACTTTCCTAATATCTTTCTGTAGGCCTTCTCAATGGCTTTGGGAAACAAGGTAGGGTGAACCCTCAGTGACAGTGATCGTTCCACATGAATGAAAGTCAATTCCACCTCAGTGTCAGCCTTAGAAAAGTTCCAGTGGGTCAAGAAGGGGGAAAAAAACTGAAGTAAAAACAAACATTAAAAAGAAACCCAGGCCTGTGGATGTCTAAGGCAGCTAGTTAGTGCCAAGTGAACCTGGACCATCTCTGTCAAAGCTTTAGCCCTAAAACTAGAACAATCCAGTAAATAAGTATAGCTGAGGGCCTTCAGTGTTCTTAAATGGCTGCCATGACATCATCACACTCAATATAAATTAGTCTCTAAATTCTCATCCTAACCTCAGAACTCCTGTAACACTCATCATGGGCATATGCTTGCTTATATTATATCTGGCATTTGTATTAACAAATGCAAGATTACAAGTTCCTTGAGGCCTTATGCCTCTTTGGGTCTCCAGAGCTGAGCACATTGCCTTGCCTCCTTCCTTCAGGAGTTGTGGAAATGACACTATCTGGTCTATAAAAGTGGGCTGGGAAGAGAGGTAAACCAAACTGATAACACCAGACTCTCTCAGGCCAACTGGGAAATGTACAAACAGGACTAAAGAAATCACTCACCCCTAGGCCTGAGACCTGCCTCTGTTGATCCTTACACAACCCCATCCCCAAAGTCAACATTCTGCTAACTGCCTCTGTCCATCCCAGAACTGGATAGTTCCACTGCCACTCTCAGTCTAGCCCCAACAGTGAGTGCTGAGACTCCTGATATGTCCTCCTGGGATAGCAGGATGGTGGAAGGGTTAAAAGGGCAGGCTCTGCAAGCAGACAGAGTTGAGTCTGAATGTTTTCCCACCAATAACTAGTTGTGATTAGGGAAGTCACCAAGCCTCAGCTTCCTCATCTGTAACATGTGGATAAATAACAGTAGCTACCTACCCTCATAGGCATATTGTGGAGATTAAATTAGATCTTCCACATAAAGCCCCTAGCACAGTAGAAATATTCAATAAATGTTAGCTATTATTATTATTCACACCATGAACTATACCTAAGATTTGGGCAAGGGTCCACAGCTTGGAGCAATTCTCCCCTACCCGTGTTCCTCTCAACAACACCTTGTCCACACACCCAAACCAGGTCAAAACACTTCCCAGAAAAGAAATTCTCTGTAATAGTCAGAAAATCCAGAGCCCAGTTTCCCCTAGTCCACTGATTTTGCCAAAGATTCCTTTCTGGAGTCCTCAAAAGCCAGTCCTGTCTCTTACGCTCAGTTTCTTCATCTACTGCTCTGCCAAACCACACTGGGACAGAAGGGCTTAAGGGGTTGCGGTGAATGGGGCGGGGGGAGAGGGGAGGGTACGAGGAGAATAAGACTACTGACTGTCAGCATCCAACTTCCAGGCCCGCTGGCCAGGCACCATGAGAGTAAATTGCAAAACAAAAAACAATCAAGTCCATGAATTGAGAGTGCTGTAGTCTCCACTAATGCTCTCAGTATTTCAAGCAAAAAAATTTTTTTATAACAACCACATTCCACTGGGACCAAGAGCTGGAATGACTGTTTGGATTATACTGTAATGGTCTCCAACTAGCATTTGTGAGACAGTGTATGTGTTTTATTTCTAGCAAAGGAGCTTAAGGTTGGAGTTCTGGGTATAGCAGGGGAAATGTGGACCAAAGACCCTTCCCAGGGGCAGATTATCCAATAAGCAAGATAAGCACAGTGCTTACCTTGCTTACCAGATAATCTGTAGTGAACAATTTCACATGGGTTTCACCACATCTTTGAAACTGTTCATTACAGATTAGTAACTAAGCACAATTAAGCCCATGCTTACCTTGCTTACTGGGTCATCAGCCCCTGTCAGGGATTGTAAATTTAAAGAGGCTTTGATTCTGTGGGAAGGTGGTGTAGGGTTGGGAGAGAGACAGATGCCAGCCACACCTAGCAGCAGAATCTTTGATGTGGTGAAGAAATGTGAAATCGTTCACTACAGATGATCTGGTAAGCAAAGTAAGCACTGTGCTTACCTTGCCTATTGGATAATCTGCCCCTGACCCTTCCCATGAGCTGGCTTCCCTGTTTGGCTGGTGAAGTCGTGACTCAGCCAAAAAAAAAAAAAAAAGTTATACAACTGCAGGCAGTCTCACACCCCAGATTTCTCATCAACAGTCAGAATCTCTTCAGTAAGCCTCACTCCCCGTGTTGTTTGGTTTGCTTTAGTTTGATTTTTAATTCTACCAACAACCCAGACTCTAAGTCAAAGAAGCCAAAACCCAGAACGTTCCTCACAGGCTCCTACAAAAATGCAGAACTGCCCAATCTGATTGTACATGCCAGGAGGAGGGTGTTTCTGGGCAACCAATTGGCACTCATGTCTCCCTCCTGGTCCCTTAACCCAGGGAGCCACCCACGCAGGACCCCAAATGCCAGGGAGGGCAGTACCTTCACTACCCCCCCCCCCCGGAGAAGACAAAGATGTGGGAACCCATTAGGCAGCCAGACCTTGATGTCATTTCAACTCACCCTTTGGGCTTCAAATCTTGCTTTCTTGTTCTTTCCATCGAGAGATACACAATACAGAAATTCTCTTAGTGCTTCCTCCACCTTGCCTAGGGTGGCTAATGCTTGCGCTTTTCGGAAGTGTGGCTGGAAGAAAACATTAGCATTCAACCCCACTCTTATTCATCTTATTAATGCTGCTACCATTAATAATAATAGCTAAATATGGAGTGAGCATTCACTATTGTGTGAAGTATTTTAAAAGGACTATCTTACCTACGGAAACACTGATGGCTCAGTGGTTAAGAGCTACAGTTTCTGACAAAAAGGTCGGCAGTTCAAATCCACCAGCCACTCCTTGGAAACCCTATGGGGCAGTTCTACTCTGTCCTACAGGGTTGCTATGAGTTGAAATCCACTTGATGGCAATTGGTTTGTTTTATTTTTTTGTTTGATCTTACCTACAGCCCTATGATGTAGGTAACTGTTCTGAATCCCATTTTAAAGAAGACAAAACTGAAACCCAGAAAAGTGACTTGCCCAAAGTAACACAGCTGATAAACTGTGGAATCAGGATTTGAACCTGGGATTGACCAATAACACAGAGGCAAGGGCAAGGGAGTGGAGCAGGCCACTGAGGGGCAGCCTAGATGAGATGCTTCTGGGGCCCCACTAATAATACCAAGTAGCAATCCATATACTCCAGGGCTGCCAGCTCATCCCCACTGAGAGCTATGCAACCTATAGGGTATGTGGAGTGCCACTGAGCCCTGGCTGGATGGCTGAGATAGGGCTGTGAGGTAAACTCCCTCCACAGGGACATTTCACGTAGAAATGGTGGGAAATATGTAAATCAGGGTGTAAGGTGGTTTGGAATTATATACCAGCTCAAATCTTCTCCCAACCTCAAAAAATATAGAGTTCTCTGACCACTGGCCCCCCTTATCCCAATACTATGGGGAAATGAAACACCTGGTTAATACTTCCACCAACCCTTCCTTCACTGGGGGTAGCCACTTTTTCCATTTCACCAAAATGGTCCACTGGCCCTGCTTCCCATTTTGTGAGGCCATCACCCCTAGGCATAGGGTAGAAGCAGAAGAAGTTGGAAGAGAAGTGCTCCTACTCCCAGTCAGAGAACACATGAATTCATCATTACTCATGAAAACCTTCTCATGAAAGAACACACGAGATTCACCCTGGCACTAATGGCAGAGTATATAGGTCCACGATGCTTTATTTAAAGTTTCCGAATCCAAAAATTCTGATAATTCAGTATTTTCATAAGCTTGACCTCAAAACTCATTAGATGGCAAATCTGACATAAACGGATGCATGTTTTAAAGTCTTTAGAGTTGCTGCAGAAATATGAGCATATTTGATTATAGGGTGCTTTCCAGCACTCACTGGGTGTGCTACCTAAATATATGGTCTTTCTAAAATATGAAACATTCAAGATTCTGAAATACATCTGGCCCAATGGGATTCAGATAAGGGACAATGGACCTGTACTTGGATAAGTTGGTTTTCCAAGGAAGGCATCCTAGGATTGTGCATAAAGAGCACTACACCAATACCCAGCAAGCTTTATAGCTTGCAGAATAATGTCCTCTTGGCCATGCTCACTTTGACCCTTACTGTATCCCTGTGAGGTAATCAGGGAAGACAGCAATAGCCTCGTTTTGCAAATAAGGATACTTGAGGTTCAGAGACTGAAATGACTTCTCCATGGTCACTCAGCTTGCAAGTAGTACAGCCCAGACTCAAATCTAGTCTTCTAAACAAAGTACTGACATGGGGCTGAGGGCTAGTCCTGAGACCAGGCAGAGATGCAGAAAGTGACACTTTGCACCCTGGCATCCCCGAAGATGCCTAGCCTTTTCCCTGCTCTGCTTGTGCTCTAGTGCACCCAACCTCCGGGGAGGCAGGCCCTTCCTGGCAACTCCTGTCTACAGCACAACCCCTTCCCACACTCACCTTAAGACCCATCGGGCGGAGCTTACACGCTATTTCTGCATCATGTAGTGCATCCTCATGAGACTCCAAGGTGAAATAAATTTGAGACCGGTTGCTATAAAGTAAGTGGTCATTCGGAGCTGCCAAAAGGAGAAAATCCTTCGTTAATGGTCCCCAGCAAAAGCACGTGGTAAGTCTTGTATGAGGATGGATCTTGAGCAAATGGCAAGTTACCTAGGACTTGCTTCTACTGGGAATCCAAAGGGTTAGGTTCAATTTCCAGCTCTAATATTGCCCTACCTATCACATACCCTGCCACTTTGGGCCTGAGCTTCCCCATCTGCAGACAAGTAATTTTTTGCCCCCCTCTCTCAAACAGTTGCTTAGAGGGCCTGGGGTATCAGTGGTGCATTGAAGACTTTGACACAGAGGAAGCCCTGGCGCCCTGCTTCATGGCTACGCACAGCTAGCACCCAGCAGCCCGGCTTCTGAGTGAGGTATCACCAACAAGGAAACAGGTCGGGGAGTGGGGAGAGGAAGATGCCCAGATGTGACACCATCTCGGCCACCAGGAAGACAAGTCTAAGTTAGTCTTCTGGGTGTGATGACTAGTAACATTAGCAGCATCTCTGCCTACAAAGCTCGGCACATACAAAATTTCCCTGAAGAAAACGGAAATGCATTTGCAAGGCCCTCTCCTTTCATCACCAATGGCCAAATGTGAATGTACCTGGACCAGAATACTGGGAAAAGGGCTAGAACAAAGCAGGGCACTTCACTTCTGGCTCTCACCAACACTCTGAATCACTGGATGCCAGGACTGGACAGGCCTTTAGAGATCATCTGACTCAATCCACCTATTCTTCAGATGGGGAAAATCAAACCCAGAGACGGGAAGGCATCTGCTCAAGGTCACACAGCTAGCTGGTCAGAGTCATTGCTAACTGGCCAGATTTTGAAGCTTTGGAGCTGGGGTGGGGAACAGGTTCCTTTTTCTGAAGGGAGGTACAGTACTTAAAATAACAAAGAGGAGACACTGGCCACCTTCCAGTACAAAGATACTCTGCTGGGGAGGCCCTTTTCCTCTTAAAAGGGTGAAGCTTGTCTTGACATTTCTACACTGACTCTTCTGAATGGATTAACAAAGGTGCAGGAAAGAATCCCCAGGGAAAAGCAGTAGTGGCAGCAGCAGAAAAGAAGGGAGGAAAAGGCTTTCCTGGCCCTTAGGGGATAGCCGAAAGGCATGGAACCTCCCTTGGGGATCTGGGCTTAAGTGGCCTCCACCTATCTCATTCATTTTGCTCTGCTCTTCAAGGGCTGGGCTCCAGCTTCTGCCGCTGCAGCAGAGTTTTTTTGGGTTTTGTTGTTGTTTTTTGGTGGGTGCCAGGGGCTTGTTTAGGGCTCAGTTACTCTTAAGACATTAGCAAAGGAGCCCTGGTGGTGCAAAGGGTTAAGCACTTGGCTGCTAACTGACAGGTTGGTGGTTCGAACCCACTCAGCAGCTCCGTGGGAGAAAAACCTGCAATTTGCTCCATAAAGATTACAGCCTTAAGTTCTACACTGACACAGGAGGCCCGTATGACACCCCCAACAATAACAAGACATTAACAAAGAGCTGACAGTACTTTCTGTCCTTCCTCTCCTGTGGCACACCCCCAGGCCGGTGGCAGCCCACAGACTGCCCTGCCTGGGCACAGACATCCCCCCCTTCTCCTCCAGCCAGCAGTCTTGCCCAGTCAGTCCTCACTTCCTCCCCCATTACCTGTTGCAAGCTCGGGTGGAGATTCAACAGGTGGAGACTCCAGCCTGCCCCCTCCTCCGCACCTCCCAGCCGGGTCGGGAGCCCCCTCGGATCCCAGAGTCTCCTCTGCCCAGCCCCTAGCTACCTCCTCCCCGACGGCACGCTTCGCCAGACACCGCGCCCGCCCAGCCGGCCGAGCTCCTGGCAGGAGGCCGAGCTGGGCGATCCCAGCCAGCGGCTCGGTGGCCACTTCCCGGCCCGACAGGGGGAGGGGGGCCGCACCCCAACGGCGGCTTGGGCACCCGGAGCCCAACGGGGCGTGGAGCCGCCTGCGCTTCCCTGGAAGCCACCAAGCCACCCACTCCTCTCCCGGGTGGCACGGTCAAGCGGAGCAGAGGCGTGCCCTAACCAGAGCCAGCCACCTCACGGTCCCTGGGGATCCCGGAGCCACTGCCTGGTCCCTGCTGCCCGCTGGACTCGCGGGGCAAGGGTGCGAGGCGAGGACGTGGGCTGTGGGCGACGGGGGCGGGGGGAGGCATCTATTTCAGCCGAGGATCGTGTGATAGGAAGCGGTGACAATGAGTCACAGGGCAGCGGGGCGCGAGCGCTCTGCCCCCCCCTCGCGGGATGGTTTCCGAAGCGAGCGTGGCCCACTTCGGTTACCTCAGCAGTTACACAATCCCGCCCGCCCGCCCGCGCGGAGGAGGGGCTGCCCGGCCCGCTCGCGGCCCTTATGCAACCAGTGCTCTCCTGACCTAATTCCACGCCGGACCCACCCCACGGCAGCCACGGCCCCGGAAGGGACAACTCCCGGCCGCGGCGGCAGCGTCCGGCGAGGGCGCCTAGGGGACGTCGCTGGCCGACGAGCGCCCGGAGGCCCGGGGATGAGGGTGGGCAGGGTGCGAAGTTCCCCTCCTGGCCGGGAGGGAGGGGGCAGGTGTCAGAGAGGGCCCGGGCGTGGAGACCGAGAAGAAGGAGCGACAGAGAGAAACAGAGACGGCGACACTGAGCAAGACCGGAACAGAGCGAAACAGCGACGGAGAGACGGGGAACAGGGGTGCCACAGACTGACAGAAACAGACTGAGAGACACAGAAGCTAAAAGAAGAGACAGAACAGCAACAACAAAACAGAGCAGAAAGAGACGAGGACACGAAGAGAGATAAAGCGATAGAGACAAAGTCACGGAGCAAACTCCAGAGAGTCCCCACCCCGCACCCGCCACAGTCCCCCGCGCGCCCCTCTGCCCCGGTCCATCCCCCATCTCTCTCCAGCTTGCACTCCCCGGCCCGGCCCCCGGCGACCCAGCCCCTGAGCGCAGGGGTCCCGTCCCGCCCCCGCGCCCGCCCTCACCCAGCGGCGCAGCAGCCTCACCTAGTTGAACCGCTTCGTTGTACTTGAGCAGCGCCGCCTCCACCTGGCGCTCGCGGTACAGCTGGTTGCCTTCGTGCCGGAGTTGCGACGCCCGCGCCGGGCCCGGGAACAACTTGCCCAGGAGGCCGCTGAGCACCACGTTGACCCGCAGCGGCGGTGGCGACTGCGGCCCAGCCCATCGGGTGCCTCGTGCCCGCCCTGCGGCCACCATCCACGCGGAGAGCTTAACCCCGCACAGTGCACAGCGCCGGTCGGCCGCCCGCCCGCGTTCCAGGCACAGTTTACAAAAGGTGTGGCCGCACGACAAGGACACGGGGTCTGACAGAAATCCATGGCACTTCCGGCACTTGAAGCCGTCCCACACCTCAGTGGCCACGGCCGTCCCCGCCTCTTCAGCCTCCGTCTCGCAGCCCGCAGCGCCGCCGCCGTCCGGGGACGCCGGCGCCAGCCCCTCGCCCAGCGAGACGTTCTCCGCCAGGCAGCGCACCAGCTGCTCGAGCTGCTCAGCCGCCAGCTGTCGCCGTCCCGAGAGCTGTCTGTACACCTCGAGGGCTTCCCGGAGACGCCCCCCGGACGCCAAGGAGTCAGCTCGCGAGAGCAGGACTTTGCACTCCGGCGTCGAGGCCCGTGGAGGCTGCTCCTGCTCCGGCTCCCGCTCCCGGGTGGGGTGCGGTGCGATACCCCCTGTAGCCACTTCCGGGTGGGGGCCCGCGTCTACAAGGGCTGCTGATGCCGCCGGCTCCATCAGCTTTAAATTGTTGTTGCCGAGCTCGGCAGGCAAGCTCAGCATCTGTCCAGTCTCCGGCGAATCCATTAAGAAAGGAACACGCGCGGGGAAGAGGCGTCTAGGGGCTGGGGACTCGGAGCAGACAGCGGCAGCTGAAGGGAGTCGGGGCTGCTCCAGTGGCCGCTGCGGCCGCCCGGGCCGCCGGGCCGCTGCGCGCTGGGCTCTGCCGCTCCTCCAGGAGCTCCATGCCGGCCGCCCCGCGCCGCCTAATAACTGTCTTGTCTCAGCAAAGTGTTACATAAAACCTCACCATGTGACGCGCCGCCACGCCGCTCATTGGCCGACAGCGGGGAAATTGTTACAAAACCAGACAGTTTTGTAACAGTGTTGCGCTTGCTTCTTTTGGCTTCTTTTTGAGGTTGTTTGTGTTTACGCTCCGCCTTAGTTCCCCCTCACAACGTGGTTCCTTTTCCGAAGAGGAGGAAAAAATACCCCAACGTCTTCTCTTGGGCTTTTCTGGCGCCAACGCACTTCACCTCCAAAGCGGCCAGCAAACAGGTCCCCTCTGGCAGCCTCTCACAGACGCCCCCAGCCCCTACTGGGAGAGGCCCTGGCCGGAGGCGCGCTGTCCACCGAGTCTGCTGGGACGCTGCAGGCTCGCCCAGCGGGGCGACGGCTGCTGCCTGCGAAGGGAAGGAAGCGGGTGGGAAGGGGTCCCCAAGAGGCTTCCCCGGCTCTCCAGCCCTGGGAGCCCTGCTCCAGCTCCCCACACTCGGGGTACCTGGTCACCTTCCCCCAGGAGCTCCGAGGGTGGTGGGCGCAGTTTTTCGAGGGCGCTTGGCCCTGGGCCGGGAGTCGCTCCGACTGGCGGCCGGGTGGTTGCAAGAAGTTGGGCGGCGCTCGCTGGGCGGTGAAGGACACGCTGAGAAGCGCTGGCGGCTCGGCCCAGGAGCGGCGCCCCACGTGGCCCCCTTCTCACCCTCTCTCCCCCACGGGGTAGGGAAGCCGGCCGAAGGCCCGAACTCACGATCAGGCGGGCGGCTGGGCCTCCGACAAGGCCACGCCTGGACCAGGGGCCACGTGCCAGATGCGCGCGGCCACAAGAACCCGGGCTGTTGGGGTCCAAGGGTACTTTGGCGGCGTGGGAAAACAGCGCACTGAAGAAGAGCGCCTAGAGCGCTACTCCAGGGAAAGTGCGCGCATCCTGGCGCAGCTTAGCAGCTGAGCTGCTGCTAAGCGCGGAGTTCTGGTTAGGACGCGTCATAGTGGGGGCTGCGCGGGTATGGATTGGTCTGGGCACGAGCCGCGGTGCCTGGCTCACAATGGCTAGGGCCAGGGCGGTGACCAATCGCACACGCTGTTATGTCTCCCTCCCACGCCCACACTTCGGACGGGAGCCACGCGTCCAGACCGAGGCTTGGAAATCTAAAGTAATAACTCACGTACCCACAGTGAAGTTGGCAGCAATAGTGGAAGGACAGAGGCGGCTGGACGGCTGTCCTCTTCCTCAGGGTCAAGTGCCTGAGTTAGATTTTAAAGATAGCGAAGTCAGGGGACTGACCAAAAGGCAGAGGAGGCGATCATGCAGGCAGTAGAGGAGAAGCTGGGGTTCCCTCTGACTTGCTGTCTGAGATGAGGAGAGCTCCTTTCACCCTCAGTTTCCATTGCTGTCAAATGGGGTCCCCAGCATTAATTATCTGCTTGCCCCTTGTGTGGAGGAACAGGCTGTGGGGCAGGTAAAGAGGTTCATATGAAAGGGCCACGGGTTAGATAATAATGAAAACCTCTTAATTCAAGAGCCTTATCCCCCCCCCCTTTTTTAATTGTGTTTTAGGTGACAGTTTACACAGCAAATTAGGTTCCCATTTAACAATTTTTATACAAATTGTTCCATGACATTTGGTTACATTTTTTACAATTTGTCAACATTCTCATTTCCTTTCTGTTTGTTCTGTTTCCGTTAATCTAGTTTCCCTGGCCCCTTACATTCTCATCTGTGTTTTAAAGTAATTGTTGACCGTTTGGTCTCCTATAGTTGATTATTTAAGGGAGCACACTACTCATGGGTGATATCGTTTATTTTATAAGCCAATCTATTATTTGGATGAAAGGTGACCACCAGGAGTGGCTTCAGTTCCAAGTTCAAGGGGTATCTGAGGGCAATACTTTGGGGGTTCTTCTAGTCTCTATCGGTCCAGTAAGTCTGGCCTTTGTTAGGAATTTGAGTTTTGTTCTACATTTTTCTCCCTTTCTAGCTGGGACCTTCTATTGTGTCCCTGGTCAGAATGGTTGGTAATGGTAGCTGGGCCCCATCTAGTTCTTCTGGTCTCAGGCTCCAGGAGGTCAGGGTTCATGTGGGCTGTTAGTCCTCTGGACTAGTTTCTTCTCTGAGTCTTTGGTTTCCTTCATTCTCTTTTGTTCCAGACCAGTAGAGACCAATAGTATCTTAGATGGCTGCTTACAAGTTTTTTTTTTTTAAACTGTGCTTCAGGTGAAAGTTTACAGAGCAAATTAGTTTCCCATTCTATAGTTTGTACATAAAGTGTCCCATGACATTGGTTACATTCCCCACAATGTGCCAGCACTCTCCCCATTTCTGCCCTGAGGTCCCCACTTGCTTTCATCCAAATTTTCTACCCCTTCTTGCCTTCTCATCTTTGCTTTTTGGCAAATGTTCCCCTTTTGATCTCATATAATTGATTGTTCTAAGGAGCACGTTCCTCCCAGGTGTTATTATTTATATTATGGGCCTGTTTTTTGTTTCGCTGAAAGGTGATCCCCGGGAATGGTTTCAGTTCCAGGTCAGAAGAGTGTCTTAGGGCCACAGTCTCGGGGGTACCTCCAGTCTCTGTCAGACCAATAAGTTTAGTCTTTTCTGTGAATTTGATTTTTTTGTTCTACATTTTTCTCCTGTTCTGTCCAGGACCCTCTGATGTGATCCCAGTCAGAGTGGTTGGTAGTGGTAGCCAGGTACTGCCTAGTTCCTCTGGTCTCGGGGTCATGTAGGCTGTGGTTCATGTGGTCCATTAGTCCTTGGGACTAGTTGCTCTCTTTAGTCTTTGGTTTCCTTCACTCTCCTTTGCTCAAGACGGGAAGAGACCAATAGTCAGATGGCCACCCGCAAGCTTTTAAGACCCTGGATGCTACTCACCAAAGTAGGATGCCGAACATTCTTTATGAACTATGTTGTGTCAGTTAATGTAGATGCTCCCCGAGTCCATGGTCCTTCGCCTTGGAGCCTAAGAACTTCGTCCTGCGAGGTGTTTGGTTATGTCTAAGAAGTTTCCATAACTGTGCCCCTTGTGTGCTCTACTGTCTATATCAATATACATACAATACCTAAAATTATGTATGTAGAAATATCCACAACCAAACCTATATCTACAGGTGGGTGTACTGTCTTGCACTCTCCCACACCTGTTTAGCAAACCTATCTACCTATGTATCCTTTCATAAATTATTGTTTGTTAATACTATTGTTGCAGGATTGTCTATGTTATAGTAATTACTGTCATTGCTCTTTATTCTTGCGTTCCTCACAGGGTCTTCCTTTGCCTTGGTCATGTTGTGCTAACTTCCCCCATATTGTGTATTGCCTTTCCCTTCACAAATATTAACACGTCTTCTATCTAGTTAGTAATTTTCCCTCCTTCTAGTGCCAAAATTGGGGGAACAGTGCATCCAAGAGCTCAAGGGAACAGACAGCAGTGCTTCCCATCTCACAGAGAAGGTGCACTTTAAGCTAGGTTGGAGAGGATTTAGCTAGACCGAGAAGTGAAAGACCACCAGGCTGCTCAACTCAAGGAAGTACCATTCACATTGGGGGCTGGGTGGGCTGAGGAAGGGAGGAGAATTCCAAGCAAGCTGGGTTGGTCAAGGCCCAGGAATTTGTACTTTGAAAGACTACTCACATGATTCTGATGCCCAACCAGGTTTGGGGTTCACCTATGTAAAGGATGGTGCAGAACAGATTGGAGGAGTATACCCCAGTCCTTCTCCCTACCCCATCCTCAGTTTCCCTGGGGTGGAGGGCAGTCAGTAAGCCTTGTCTCCATTTTACTGAAGGGAAAACTGAGGGTCCAAAGACTTTGAATGACGTGTTCGAGGTCATTCAGCAAGTAGTGGGGACTCTGGGCTCTAGCGAACCAGTAAAAACAGAAAGATCACAAGATACCATCCTAAGGAATGTCTTGATGCATTTCTCTGCAAGACAAGTCAGACCCGCTTAGTTAGCCAGGGAGTCTGTTGCCCAGAGTACAAAGAGGAGCAAGTCTCTGGGGCTGCCAGGTGTGTGAGACAGAGTCCAGGGCGAGAAGCTTGGAGTTCTAACTTTGCTGTGTGACTCAGCCCAAGCCACTTCCCCGCTCTCTTTATGTCTGTTTCTTCACCTATTATTAACAATGCCCAACGTCACTGTTGGGAGTAGATACCAGTGATGGAAAATGCAAAGTGCAGTTAGTCCCAGTGTGATTCCTGAGAACAGAAGGAAGCCACAGCCATCTGCCGACTGTTTTGAGTAAAATATGTGCTGGCTGCCCTCAGAGTAGAAGCATTTACTTCCCAGGAGGAAAATGAGCTAGAAGCCTGAGGCTGGGCCCTGCCCTCTTGATCCATTGGGGGCACTGACAAATATGGAGGCTCTAGAGATCCTGGCACAGAGCAGACTGATCTTAGAAGAAAGAGGAAGTAAAGGGAGGGTTATCTGGAGGGAGGCAGCAAACGTTCATCAGGAGGAAATAATTTGAAGACTTTGGCAGGACTGGAAAAGAAATTTGAATCAGGGCTTGGATCTTGAACTCAGAAAATCTGGATTCAGAATCTGACTATGTGACCTTGGGCAAGCTACTTAACCTCTTTGAGCCTGTCTTAATGTCTTCATCTCAAAAATGGGGCTGATGCCTATAATAGAATCTAGCTCATAAGATTGCTGTAATGATGAGTAAATGAGATCGTACATGGAAAATCTTACCACAGAGCCTTGCCCATGGTAAGTGCTCAGTAAGTGGTAGACTTTATTCGTATTGGGCTTAAGAAGGAACCAGAATGATGTCATTGACATGTGATATTAGTTAGCAAATGGGTGAGTATGCCAACAATACTAAATAACCAATCTGAACACAGTAATATTACATAATACTTAACACTTGTATAGCAAGTTGCAGTTTACAAAGCATTTAAACATTCATCATTCATTCAATAGGCTCCAGTGGAGACATAAT